GAGATCATCAGTGGCAACGGTGTTCTTTGAGTAATCGATCGGGGGCTGGTTGCCGTATTGGTTGGAGAAGTTGCGGGAATCACCACGGCCAGGTTGCATACGTCCTCCACCACCACCACGTGGTCCACGAGCATTCTCAGCAGCCTTCTGTGCGGCAGCAGCCTCAGCCTAAGTGATGTTAGTATTTGTATATGAATTAGGAATCGGAACTCTTACCTCTGCGCGAACTTCCTCAAGAGTCTTAGGGCCCTTGTTATCCTCCTTCGAGACCCATCTCTTCTTACGGAGATCCATAATGTCCATAAGCATGAACTTGAGACGGCTGGGCAACTCTGGGGTATCGGTCATGGCCGCAATGCGGCTGAAGTAGATATCCATCATTGGCTTGCCCTTCTCGGTGCTGTCGAGGTTGCCTCCGATAGTCTTCAGGAGCTTGGTCAACGACTCAATCTCAGCCTCGTCAGGAATGCCAGTGTAGTCGACAAGCTTCTTGACACACTCGTGCATGATACGCTCCGTAAGCATGCCAAGTTTGTAAAGCTCACCAATGAACTGGACGAGACCAAGACCACGTCTCTTGGCTGCTGCGGCAATGTAGTAGGCGTCAGAAAGCATAACAGCCTCCTCAGTCTTTTCCTCGCCGCGCTCGCCCTCTGGCTTATCGCCGAGGTCCATCTTCCATCCACGCTCGAACTCCTCTTGACATCTGTTGAGGAGGTACTTGCGGAAGAGGTTACCACCCGACACAACGTTGCCGTTCTTGTCGAGAATGCTCTCATCCTTGATCTCGGGGCTCATGGTCTCAAGCATGCGCTTGCAGAACTTCGCATACATAGAAGCCCAGTGAGCCTCGTCAGTTGCCTTCTCGAAGGTGAGCTGGATGACTTGGCGCAGGGTACGTCCGTCGGCCTCATCCTTGGACTGAGCCGCAATTGTGAGGATCTGATCCGCGATCTTGTCGAACTTCTCAGGCGTCATCTTGTTGAGAGCAGCCTTGACCTTACGCTGGACCATATCCGGCTCCATGTGGGTGGAACCACCTGCGGCACCTGGAGCGGGTCCGGCGGCACCAGTAGCAGATTGAGCTGCAAGACTGCGTGGCTTCCACCCAGTCGATGTGATCTCGATGGGCTTCAGGACCATGCCGGCTGTAAGAGGCATCTTCTTCTCAGCCTCAACATTGTGCTTGCTCGTGTTATCACGCTTGCTGCCTTGGCGACCGCCACGGCTGGGGTTGGTGTTACGCGGTGACTGCGGCTGGCCCATACCCGAGGGCTGTCTGCCAGGTCCCATACCACCAGGGAATGTTCCGGTGCTTCTGAAGTTTCCGGACATTGGGTTTGCACCAGCCGGTCGTGCCATAGTGCCTTGAGACATCTCGAAGCGCTGCTGGGAAGTTGTTCCGGGAGGAAGAGTCTTGCCAACAGCGAATGTGCCCATGGTGAATTGACCTGGAGCACGGTTGGAGCCCTGTCGTGGACCCATGCCGCCTGGGGTTCTTGAAGAGCCTGCGCGGGATGATCCTCCGTCACCGTCGCCAATCAAGGCCTTGATCTGGGACTCGAATTCAAGAGATGGCTTCTCGGTGAAAACTTTCTGGAATTGAAGCAAGAACTCTTTGTCGTACTTGAAGCTCTTGCCCTTGCTTGTAACAGCAGTGTTGAGTGCAGGGTTTGGTGACGAGATGTTTGGTGGGTAGATGGAGGCGTCCAGGACAGAAAGGAACCTGGCTGACTTCAGAGACTGAAGTGCGGCACTTGGCTGCGGTGGCTCGACTGGCTTGGTGTTGAGAGGTGCAAGGTTAAGCGCTGCAGGCTTAGTCTTCTTCTCACCGCCCAAAACCTTTGGTGGTGGGCCCATCGAATCATCCGAAACTGGAGCAGATGCTCCGCTGTCACCCCCAAGCTTGAGAGCACCGAGTTTCGATGCCAGTGTGCTTGGTGTGAGCGGGGCAGCATCGGCCTTGGAGTCTGTTGACTTAACCTCAACACCCGCCGCCTTTGCCTCAGCATCCTTACGCTTTTGCTCGCGCTCATCCTCGATGCGCTCCATCTCACGCTCTTGCTCCTTAAGCTTGCGGTCATTCTCCTCTGCCAGCAATTTGTTCTTCTCGGCGTTAACCAAGTCGGCAGCGGCCTTCTCGGCAGCACGCTTGGCCAACACCTCAGCTTCAGCCTTCTCGCGCGCTTCTTCGGCCTCCTCTATTTCCTTGATCTGCCTATCGAGCTCATCCTCGGCATCTTGCTTCTCCTTGGCAGCGGCTGCCGCGGCATCAGCCGCAGAAGTATCCGCCTGCTTCTCTTCGATCACCTTAACCTCACCGGCCTTTGGCTTCTCAGAATCAGTGCCCTCGGCGTCCGAAGCCTTAGCATCTTCACCCTCTGCAGCTCTGCGCACTCTGTCCTTGAATTCTTGCATGACAGTCTCATCTCTCTTACTATCAGTGCGAACGTGCTGTGGAGTGGCAGCCTTTGATGGCGGAGTAGGTATAGACACAACAACTGGAGGAGTCTTGGAAGATTGGTTGCCTGGACCAGGCGATGCCGGTGGCTTTGCCGATGGCAGCTTGACAATATCACCATCTGGGTTCTTGATGACAATTGCTGCGCTCCTTCGGGTTGTGCGTTGGAAGGTGCTGGGGGAAGCCGCGGCCTTTGCTTGGGGAGTTTGGTGAATTACGGACGCTGGCATCGAAGGGGTTTGGGGCTGGCCCAGGCTTGAGTTTGGCCTTTCAGACATTTGCGAAGGTGTGCGCGACATCGCCTGGGGTTGTGGCTGCTGGTTGTATTGACCTGGGATGAATGGCTGTTGGTAGCCTGGCTGGGGAGATTGTGGCTGGCCTGGCATGCCCTGCATGTACTGCATTTGAGGGTACATAGCGTATGGGGAAGGTACAGGCATACCGCTCATACGGTCGTATGGTGGAGCTTGGTAGCCGTAGTTCTGCATTCTTGTTAGAATCTGGTCAAAGTTGCCACTCTCTGGCGACAAATCAATCTTCTCAGTACGTGGGGGGAAAAGGGGGACAGAGGCAACTGGGTTGGGGAAGAACGGTTTGGCAGCGGCACTCCGCTCGGAGCTCTCCGGGATCTGCTCGAGTAGGTTTGGAAAAAATGAACAAGACAGCTCTCCAGATGGCGACTTGAAAGTATCTCCCGACTGGAAATGCTGTTGGTTATTCTTTCCAGCAGCTTGCTGTCCATTCTTGGAAAACATTTTGCCATTTTTGCCTGACTTGAAGGAATTTGGAGGATGGAGTGAAGTAGAAGGGTGAAGTACTTGAGGTTGAGGCATGTATTGAGGGTGGTATTGGCCATATTGCTGAGGGTTCTGCATTGGCATGACTTGTCCCATGTTCGGGGTGCTTGGTACCGAGTTGGTCAGAGCAGGGCTGCGGTTTGCCTGGTGTGGCGAGTTCGGGTACTGTGGCATAGGTCCTCCACGGCCAGGGAATGGACCGGGCATGCCGCCACGGCCCTGGTTTGGAGCGCCGCGGAACTGGTGGTTGCCTTGCGGGTATCCCATCTGTTGGTTCTGGTAGGTGTTGCTGTAGCCACGGCCGCGGCCGCCTTGAGGGTTGAAGCCGCCTCTGTTGGGACCACCCATACCGCCTTCTCCGGAAAGTCGTCGGTCATGGCCAGGTTGTGCGCCTGGGGCAAGAGGTGCCTGTGGTACGGAAGCATGTCGCATGTGACGCTATGAAGAGAACAAAGATTAGTACAATGTATCAATGTAAAGAGAGCAGAAAATAAAAAATACTTACATCGCCATCGCCACCCGGGTGACTACCAAAAGTCATTCCGGCGCTCTGAAGCCCCGCAGGAGGTCTACCGCCGCCACTAGCTGTTGGCTGTGGGATCGGGGAAGGCGATTGCGCCGGAGAAGTCACTCTCGGGTTGCTTGGGATCGCAATCGGTGCCGAAGAGGTGGTCGACTGTGAGATCTGTGGAGTGCTATGGGTAGCAGCAGGAGACTCAGCCAGCGAACCGAACTGGATCGCCTTCGAGGAGCCGTTTGCGACGTAGCCGCCGTTGATCGTGACGGAGCTCTTTCGGCTGTGCTCCATCGCGTTCCCGTTGCTGCTAGCAATAGCCGGGGTTGAAACTACCGGTACAGCAGGAGGTATCGACGATCTGCCATTCACTGGCGAGATTGACGAAGACTTTCCATGCTGTACCGGCGCGACATTGCCGACTGCCACGGCTGGGGATTGAGAGGACGAGCCCGTCGCGACCGGAGGCGACGAGACTGCTTTTCTAGTCGCGGAAGCGTAAGACTGAGCGGACTGCGACGCGCCGTTGTTGTTAGAAGCCGAGCTTGGGGGTTGAGTGGGTTGAGAGACGGAAGTCATAGAGTTGTCGACGTTGGTCTGGTGATAGATAATGACGTGTTGAGGAGGCAAAACGGGTTGGGATCCGTACGGGTCGATATTGTCGAGCAGATGTCAAATCTGATCTCCGTTTTGTCCGAGTATGAGATGGAAGAACTGAGCGGAGATGTTCGAAACAATCGCAGTGGTCGAAGTTAATCGCACTTGTCCGTTGAAGGATTAATAAAAATTGAGATTAACAGGGCGCAGGGCCTCTGGAAATTCAAAGGAGAGTCGTGAACCCGTGGCGATCTGCAGGACAGTCGCGATCGAGATCCTTTGGCGGTTTGTGAGGGTATCCGAAGATATGAAATGCGATCTCTCTATTCCTTGCTAAAGGATAGAGATTCGCAGATTCTTGGAGATGAGGGATGTTGTTGGTGCTGGGGGTTTGTCGAAGACAAGAGGGTTGGAGCAAAAAAAGAGCAAGAGGGCGAACAAAAGAAATTTGATTTGGCTGGGCGGAAGCTGGGAAAACGGGAAATCACGCTAGTCCTAGAAATGCGGCGTTGGCCTAATGCGGTTACTGTATTACATATATGTTAGATAAATTATAGATTAAAGGAATTGAAGGGTATGGAATGGGATAATAATTCGGGAATAAATGTATTTATTCGTCACTTGGGGAAATCACAATTTCTAATCGACTGTAGTTATATTATAGTATAGCAAGGCAACGATATCGCCTCTACTCTCCGTTATAAAATCAATATAAAATCTAGCCTTCATCCAAAAGTATTCTCTCCCTACTCCGTCTACCCGACTATCGTCCACCAGCTGAAACACGTGAAACAGCATTATAGTCTAAAAAGCCAGGCTCGCCTCTACTTTTGCCCGAGTCGTCGCAAAAGCAGCGTCGTCGGTCGTCGGTCGTCGGTCGTCGGTGTCCGTCGTCGTGGGTTATCCACACATCGCGTTGGCGTTGGCGTTGGCGTTGGCGTTGGCGTTGGCGTTGGCGTTGGCGTTGGCGTTGGCGAGGTCGTCATCATTATCCACGAACAGATCACTCCGCGCCGCGCTTTGGTTCGCCAGTTTCGCCCCCTCCAGTCATCCGATATCTAGTTCGCTATTCGTGCTGTAGCTATTAGTGCTGTGACTCGAGAGTGACGCGACCCAAGCACCGCTTCTCAGCAAAGAAGCAGGCAAAACAAGCAGGGCAATGCTGTACAGGACATAGAAATGTCAGGGTACGCGTCTTGCATAGGGGATGCGCTCGGAGATGTACGATGATGGGACGAAGACACAGACCTACATCCATCCATCCATCCCATCTACAACTCACTCAACCGCTCCCCCAGACCGCCCGCCACGTCTCACTGACCTCGTTCCAGTCCAGCAGCCCGGTCTTTCGGGTCATCCGTGGACATATCATATCAATCCCGGTGAAATGTGTGAGTTTTTTTGACTCAGATGTTGGAATGAGCAAGTCTCACGACAACCACGCACGATTCACCACACAAGACAACAAAGCAATCCATCGGATATTATCTCCCATCTCCACCCCCCCTTTGTAAGAGTCACAGCCAGCACGACAGATATTCCTCCTGTCGTCCTCCCACACCACTGCGAGTGCGAGTCTCGAGGGATGACTGCACGCACCCTGCATCCGAACCGCCAGATGGATGGGCCGTTCCGCAGCGAGACTGCTGGGGGGCGGGCTGATATCATGTGCAGCCCGCCGAGGCGTGCATGCATGCGATGGAGGGAGATGCGATGATGTCCTTGCATGGGTGCAGGATGATTGCACTACGTTACGCATCGAGAATATAATAAAGACAAACCATTAATTTATTTCACCCAGGCTCCAGCACCATATAATTACACACCAGCACCCCCCTCCCAAACCACAAACAAACCCCCCCCACGCCTCATCTGCATGCAATACCGTCATGCCACATAGCCAGCCTTGCCCCCCCAGCCTCCCACACACCGAACGCCTTCCCACTTCAGCCTCGACTTGTACACACCGAGCTCCGTCCTTTCAGCCTCAACCCCTCATCATCCCCTCCCTATGATTTCAACACCAAAATCTCTCCCCCCGACCCAACCACCACCCCCTCCTCCATAGCCTTCCAACCCCCCTCCCCCTCCCCCACTCTCCAGTCCCTCCCCTCCCACCTCCCACCCCTCCACCCCCTGCCCTCCCTCCTCCATCTCCTCCGTCCCAGCACCCACCCCAGAACCCCCACAGCCGCCCACCCCAGCACCACCATCCCCAGCACCACCCCCACTCCCAGTACATCCCCCTTCGTCACTCCCCCTATTCTCTCTCGTCCCCACCCCCCCTCCTGTTCCTTCAGACGAAAACAAGTACCGAAGCGGTCATCCACGGCGTATGCGGGGCAGTCCAGGATCCCTGAGCTGGGGGTGATGTGGATGTGGCTACCGTGGTCGAAGATGTCGCCGCGGTCTGGGGGGGAGGGGGAAGAGGTGGAGAGGAAGTTGGCGTATGTTTGGGGCATTGTGTTTGTTGTGAGAGTTTGGAAGGTCGGTGGTTTGTTTGATAGCTTGAGAGTTTTGAGGTCTGAGATCTGAGATCTTGAGAGTTCTTGGGAATTCCCGGTTTTGCTGGGAGAATTGATGGTGGTTGAATTGTCCGGCTTAGGAGCAAGTTTTGGATTTTGGATTGAGGTTTGTGACCAGTGAGGTTTGGATTGTAAATTGAGATCTGGCTTGCAACGAGCGTAGAAGGCGGATGGAAGTAGTCCACTGCTGAGAGTAGAGTGAGTGAGAGCCTACAGACGTGGAAGTCTCACAAAGACGTCGACAATAATCGAAAAGCCGCTGCAATTCCCATACAGACGACAACAAACAGAAAAAAAAAAAGACCCTACAACTAGCGAAACCTACCCCGCCGACACTACGTAAATCTCACACCCGACGAATATAAAAAGTCAATCACGAGGGACGTGGTGCCACTCTCCAAACCGCGGAGAGTGGTCTGCCAGATCAAACCTTAAACCCACGCCGGTCCACGCCAGCTGCCGCCGGCGCCAACCCCACCAAAGCCTAGCTAGCCTCAAGCGCAGAGCGTGCACACCAGTTATCACATCAAATCAGCGAAACACAAAGACCAAGCTGTCTCCAATCATCTCGAGTGTATTGCCTTTCCATTTCATTCCCAGCGCATCTTCCAAACGGCGAACCCTTGTATCTCAAGAAAGAAAAAAAAAGCCCTATACTACACACATCATCACCATTGCGCATCAAAAATACGCCGCATCCCCCGTACCTGCTTGCTGATGCAAATGCCCCCCCTCCCTCCCACCTTCGCTTCCCCGTCATCGTTTTCGTCTCCTTCCGTCCCACAAAATCCCCCCCCGCCGGGTATTACAAAGCCGCCTCCCCACCCCGAGAGTCCCATTTTCATTTCCCACACATCTATCTCGCTCCACAGAAAAAGAGTGGTGTCGTCCCCCCTTCCACGTTTCAGATACTCTCGTGTACTTCGCCACCACCCTCTGTAGACCTGTTAAATAGTCCAATATCCTCTATTAAAGCATACGTCGTACACGCGCGCCGATTCATGGCAGTCCCATCAATGCCACTGGTTCTGCGCCCCCATGAACCCCTCTTCCAGCGTGCGGTCCTCGAGGTTACGGATGAAATCGCGATTGCTCCTCGCGCCCTGCTGTGCGCCCTGCGCTGCGCGGCTGCCGCGGCGCCGTTGGCTGCCGGGGTTGCCATCGGGCATTCCGTCGGGGGGAGGGGGGTAGTATGCTGGGCTGGGTTGCAAGCGGATTGGCTGCGTGGGGTCGAGGTGACTTGCGACTCGCTGGATGGCGGGTGGGATTCCACCTTGTTGCACTTCCATTGTCATGGCTCTCTGGCGTCTTGTTTGGGATTGAGGGTATAGACCTTGTTGCGCTGGCTGGCCATACTGTCCTGCTGGCATGTGCGGCGGGGGCTGGTGTTGCATCATACCGCCTTGTGGGTAGCCGCCAGGCTGGGCGGGGTATGGCGGTGGACCGGCTTGGTGGGCCTGGTTCGGCGGGTACATGGCGGTGTTATTGTACATCTGCGCTGCTTGGGGATGGCTCTGTGGAGGGTATTGGTTGCTTGGTAAACCGCCAACCAGTGGTGATTGTGTCGGGTATTGTTGAGCCGCATGGGCCTGGGCTGCTGCTTGGGCAGCGTGGGCTTGGGCCTGAGCAGCAGAGTGTTGTTGGACAAGCTGGACTTGTGCCGCTTGTGCACGTTGCTTGCTGAGGGCTTCAGCCTGCTGTTGCTGCTGGGTTCCAGGGGCTGGGGATCGGTTGGAAGAACTGGTCTTCAGGTTCATGGGTGGTACAAATGGCCCGGTGTACTTCTGCTGGGTAATGAAGGGATGGAGCTTTGCTTGCTGTGGTGACCATCGCTCCAATGGATTGATGTTCAATAAGCCTCGGATGAAGTCGATGAATGCTACCCTATTGTTCATCTCTGTATATTTTGTCAGTGAGCTGTCATATGATAATCATTGTAGACTTTACCTCGTTCCACCTCATTTGGCTTCATATTTTTCCTGGGCATAGCATATGATCGGATTATCTCCGGTAGAGCCGTGGCTTGAAAGTATTTCTTGCTCGGCTGCTCTTTGGAACCATGTTCTCTTGAGTATTGCTCCATGCTCTTCAGGTGATATGTCCTCCTCCCAAAATCGTCAACATCATGGCGCTTCTCAAAAAATTCTCCGGACTGTTTCCCCATCTCCAACATCCAGTTTGGCGGGTTGCCTAACATCTCGACAATGCGCGACACCTGGTTGTATTCGGATGAACCAGGAAACAATGGTAAACCCAAGAACAGTTCGACCACAATACAACCTAATGACCACATATCAATCGCTGAGGAATATGGTAGGCCAAGTAGAACTTCTGGAGATCGATAAAATCGAGACTGAATATAGGTATACACCGTTTGACGTTCGTCACAAGCCGAGCCGAAATCAATGATCTTGATAATGGGGCTCTCAAGGTTCTTGAGTAGGATGTTTTCGGGCTTCAGATCACAGTGTATAAGGCGCGCCTTATTCAACAGAGCAAGCCCAGTTAAAAGCTGTTGCGCGAATACGCGGACAAGTGTCGTGCTTAGGCCGCGGAACTGGTTCTGCTTGATGAGTTCGTACAAATTGACGCTCAAGAGTTCGAAGACCAGGCAGAGATGCTGCCTGTGAATAAAGGTGTCTCTGAGTCTGAGCAAATGGTGATCGTCGTTCTTGTCGAGCTTGCTGTTAATCTGCATCGAGTTAGCACTCGTAGTTTATTCAATCATGGACCAATTCTTACCAAGTCGAGCACAGAGACTTCCATCATACTTTGGTTAAAGTATGCCGTCTTATTCTTGATCACTTTGACAGCGACAACCTCCTGGGTCTTCAAGTTCTGGCACTTCACCACTTGACCAAAGGTACCCTGGCCAAGAACATCGAGAATGAGATAGCGGTTCCTACAATTGATTAGATTGCAACTCATTGAAGTATCAGGATTGTGGCAAACTTACTTATGACCCGTCTCTTCAGAACCAAGGATATCGTTGACATATAGAATATAATCGCTATCCTCATTGTCGAATCCGTCATTCTTCGTCCCCTTGCTCGGTTTTGTGAGCACTCTCCTGGGGTTTCGGGATGACTCGTATTTGAACATTGGGTTGCATATTCGGTATGTCGAAGGTAGGTGTGTCGTGAGCGCTTGTAGTGGCTAAATCGTATTATTAGAGGAGTCGGACAGCGGCAGGGATTTCTACTTACACTGATGAATCCTCCCTCTGGGTTCGCTCTTCTGAACGCAGGCTGCGCATTGATCTGTGGCTGAAGATCCGAAACGGATCTCAGTTTCGCGAACTGCGGGATCGGACCACGCTCAACGGGTGGTGCTGCCGCTGGCTGAGGCCTGCGAGGTGACTTGAGGTCGTTGCTAAAGACTGCATTCAGCTGTGTTGTGGCCGATGATGGGTATGAATCCTGGATGTTGTTCGAGGAGTAGGGCGTTATGGGAGGTAGTTGTTGCACCTGCTGTCGTGAGGAATAGTATGAGGTCGGCGAAGAATAGCTCGACCTCGTTGGAGATTGCCGGTTGGTATATTGATTCTGGCTTGTCTGAGGGCTCGAGATGTACGGCGTAGCTCCCGATACAGCTTCCATCGGGGAATATCTTTGAGCTGCCGATGACTGCTCTTGAGGGCTTTGTGGATGTAATCCGGAGCGACTGCTAGCTGACAGATGCTGCTGGTGATGTGGTCGCATCGGATACTTGACACCGCTGTACGGGTCCCCAATATCTTGCATGGCGGCGTCTCCGTTGCCGTCTCGAGTTTGAGGGGTATTCGGCGTCGATGCCACCATAGACTGCCCTTGCGAAGGGTTCGTTGCACCTTGGTATTGATCGACCCTGTAGTTGGGCTGCGCACCACCCGAACCGTATTCTCGTGCCTGTTGAGGCTGGCCTGCCTGTGAATTGGAATCAAACCTACGGGCGCCTCCGCCAGTACTAGAATATGCCTGCCATTGATCCATGACAGATAGATACGTTCGACTTCGCTGCGGAGCAGAAGCGGGGCTTGCGCGAGCTTGTTGTTGGGTCGACCTGGCGGCGCGGCGTCAGGTCAATCGCGAAGGAACGCGTGGGAGAGGGCCAGTATTTGCTGGGGGAGAGGCGAAGGGGGCCTGTAAACGTAGATGCCTTCGTCTCAAAGATGCATCATGATGCTGGGCGACAGCGTGAGTATGTTGTTACACCTGTACTCCAACGTCAGGTCGCCATTACGAGTTAGCGCCAGCGTCGCGGTTGGTTTGGCGAGTCCGGCGACGACCAATACGGAAGAGATGACCGTAACGGTGTATTGCTTATTTATTATTTATGAAGTATTCCGATTAATTTTGACGGATATATTGGTCGCATGCAGGGCGTATAATATATAAGCCTTCGCATTCTACAAAAATGACTACTTCATTGCTAATCATTCACCCACGTCCATCTTGTCACGAATTATTCAGTGAGCTGTTTTATGACTGCTGATGGTGCATACGACTCTCCCCACTCCAATGAAATTGTCTCTAGAGCACATCAAACCTGCCAGACAACGGATAATAATCACGCGCAGCCTCAGAGGGGTTGGAAACCTTTTCGTTTGTTGCCCTGTAATTCATCCGCCCTGGGATGCTCCGCCCATGTATTTTGGGCTGGAATCGCGGCTGCGCTTAACAACCGACCACCAAGATCAGATCTGGCGCCAATCCGGAAACATTTCATGTGCTTGTACGGAGGTGGCTTTCAAAAGTTTTGTCCTACGCTAGTAACGCCACGATTCATAATTCATTTATACGTAGTTATTCAATCTATACGTCCCTCCTTATAGTAATGATGTATTGAGTGTATTGTTGTGAATTGTGATTGGCTAATTCTACAACAATCGTCTTTGTGGGCCCTGGCGGACAGGCTGAAGGTTGTAGCCTGGGCCGTCTGAGGAATTCCGATTCTGACTGTCTTCAAAAACTGGTTCCAAGACTCGACATGACCTTTTCTTTACATCTTAGTTTCGAACTTTCTTTACATTTGCAAGCTGGCAGTACGTAAGCAGACGCTTTGCTCCTCTACTTCCTTCACATTTTCCCGCCATCAAGCAAGATTTCACATTTCTCTTCTCGAAGCCTGCCGATAAGAACTTCAGCCTCGGGTTCCAACCTCAAACTTCGAACATAAAGAACCTTCTTCTATGCAATAATTGTTCCGCAAATATGCCGCTCAACTCCACCGCACAGGCGGATGTTGAGCCGAACCATTCTTCGCACGATAGACCCTCAGAGGGCGTTACGAACATTGATGGCGATGCCAAAAATACGACTGCCGAGGCTGATACTGCTACCACTCCTCCACATGCGCCACCGCCGGACGCTGATGGAACCACAAGCCCTGGCGATAGCATGGATGAGATTTTGGGGGGCTTGACGGAAGGGATTCGCAATCAAGAAGACATACAGAGAGACATCACAGCTCGAGCGAACATCGCACTGGTGGCGCAAGAGGACGAGAGAGATGAAAAGAGAATAGAGAGGGCGACTACGAACAGGGATAGGTTGGTGAATCAAAAGCAGAAACAGTTGCGACGCCTGGACCTGATCACCACAACGTCGACACAAAAGAAGGCCATCAGGGAAGAGATCGCGGATATTGACGAAAAAGTGGCTGGTCTTAATAATGACATCGTTCAGTCCCAAGAGCGAATTCAACTGCGACATATGCAAAAGGATGGTGCAGACAAGAACGATGGCGAGGTTTCTACCGCAAATAGGCGAATGCCAAATGAAAGCCAGCGCGACTTCCTCATCAGGACTGGCAAGATCACACCGTTTTCCAGGATGGAAGCTAGGCCGACCGAAGGGCCGACAGGAGAACTGACAAACATTTTGATGGAGGCTGAACAGGCAGCCGAGCTTCCTGGAGTGACTGATGACCAGTCAGCCGAGCAGAGGTCTCATCAATTTCTGAGAAAGCCCGGCTTCGAAGACATCAGCGAGGTCAGCAGTCCAACCGATGAGGATTCTGGACTTTCTCGCCCTCGTAAAAAGCGCCGTGTTGGAGATGGGAGTGCTATCACATCAGCTGAAGCATCAGATGGAGAGATTATTCCGGATTCTGCGAGACCTCGGAAATCTCCAGGCGCTGATTCGTCTTATACACCAGATATAATAGATGGAGATTTCATTGTTGGCGACGAAGAAGAAGAGGACGATGACGAAGGCATTCTTGATATTGGTCGAGCCGTGAAGAAGGCGGCCAAAGGAAAAGCCAAAGCAAAGGATCTGATAGAAAAGGTTGTCGACGATGGCAACGAAGCCGACTACCAGAAGCGATTAAAGAGCTGGGTGGCTAAGCGCAGTCGAGCTCGCCGCATGAAACTTGGAGAGGCAGCGGATATTGATGACGGGGAAGAGGAGTGGTTCAAGCGAAGTCCTGATGCCCCTGACCACCATTTACCGAATGACTTGAGGCTTCCTGGAGATATCTATCCAGCTTTATATGATTACCAGAAGACCGGTGTCCAATGGCTTGGCGAACTGTATGCATCCCAAGTCGGAGGTATTGTGGGAGATGAGATGGGTCTTGGAAAAACAATTCAAGTCGTCTCTTTCATAGCGGCACTCCATTTCAGCAAACAGCTCAACAAACCCGTTATCGTTGTGGCCCCTGCGACAGTTCTTCAACAGTGGGTGAACGAATTTCACAGATGGTGGCCTGCACTCCGGGTGTCTATATTACACACCTCGGGCAGTGGAATGCTTAATGTTCGTCAAGAGGGTCGCGTTGAAGATGAGGAGGAGGACATCACGCGCACCCGCGGGGGAAAGAAAGAGCCAAAGGCCAAAAAGGCTGCAAAGCGCATTGTGGACCGTGTTATAAAGCAAGGCCACGTCCTTGTCACCACCTACGCCGGTCTCCAAACATACGGCGACTTACTCGTCCCTGTGGAATGGGGCTACGCTGTGCTGGATGAAGGGCACAAGATTCGAAACCCGAACACGACTGTCACCATTTATTGCAAGGAGTTACAAACTCCAAACCGTATTATTCTCTCCGGTACGCCACTGCAGAATAACTTGATCGAGCTTTGGTCATTGTTTGACTTCATCTACCCAATGCGCCTGGGAACATTGGTTAATTTCCGCAATCAATTTGAGATTCCAATCAAACTTGGTGGCTATGCCAATGCAACCAATCTTCAAATTCTGACAGCTACGAAATGTGCGGAGACCTTGAAAGAAGTTATCGGGCCTTACCTAATCCAAAGACTGAAGGCGGATGTTGCATCTGACCTTCCAAAGAAGACAGAACAGGTGCTATTTTGCAAGCTCACAAAGCCACAAAGACAAGCATACGAGGAGTTCTTGAAATCGGAAGAGATGGTGTCAATTCTCAACCGCACGAGACAGTCGCTGTATGGAATCGATATTCTGCGCAAGGTTTGCAACCACCCGGATCTCTTAGAGCCGCGGTTACGGAACAGAGCTGGGTACAAATGGGGAAATGCAAACAAATCTGGCAAGATGCAAGTCGTCAAGGCTTTGATTATGATGTGGAAAGCGAAAGGCGACAAGATACTTCTCTTTAGCCAGGGTGTGCAGATGCTCAACATCATCGAAGAGTTTGTGAAGAGCCTTGGAGGGTTCACCTATTTGCGTATGGATGGTGGCACCCCTATCAAGGAACGCCAGACTATGGTCACGAACTTCAATGAGAATCCGGGTATAAACATATTCCTCCTTACGACAAAGGTGGGCGGCCTTGGTGTGAACTTGACCGGTGCAAATCGTGTGATCATCTTTGACCCTGACTGGAATCCTTCCACCGATGTCCAAGCACGCGAGAGAGCTTGGCGTCTTGGACAAAAGAAAGAAGTTACCATCTATCGCCTGATGAGTGCTGGAACGATCGAAGAAAAGATCTACCATCGACAAATTTTCAAGCAGTTTCTGGCTGACAAGATTTTGAAAGACCCAAAACAACGTCAAACATTTCACATGAAAGACCTTTATGACCTTTTCACTCTTGGATCTTCGGAGGACAGTACTACTGAGACAGGAGAGATATTTAAGGGGACAGAAGTGAAATTTAAGAGAGAAGTGGAACCGGTTCTAGATTACGACGGCACGAGCATAATGCCTTCTCAAGATATTCCACTAAGAAACGCAGTATCTCAAGCCGCCAACGCCGAGACTGCCAAGAATCTCATTGCAGGGAAAGTCACAGACCCCCTAGCTTCCACCGACGGCGAGGTCCTGCCATCCAACCTCGAGCGTGACGAGGTGGGCAACTTCATCGGTATCGCTAAAATGGAAGACTTCCACGACGAAGACGAGGGCAAGACCTCCACGGAAGAATCTCGCATCATGGAAGGCATCTTCGCTCGCTCAGGAGTCCACTCTGTCCTCCAACACGACAAGATCATCAACGGCAAGCGCGTCGTCCAAGCCGACCGCATCATTATCGAACGCGAAGCCAAGCGCATCGCAGCTGAAGCAGCAGCTGAACTTCGTCGATCCGGGGAAGAAGCACGCAATGTCCCCATCGGCACAGTTACCTGGACTGGCCAGGTTGGCGAAGCTGGGCGACCTGCCCCAGCGAGACGTAGAGGTCCTGGTGCTTCGGGCGTGCTGCAGGGTTTGAATGAGAGACAAGGCTCTGGTTCTGCTCTCAGCAGCTCTGGAAGCTCGAGGAGTGGTACACCGACCAGTGGGACACGTGGGCCGAGGGGCAAGGATTTCCTGAAGCTGATTAGGGATTACATCCGCATTCAAGGTGGAAGCGTCCCGTCCCAGATGCTTGTGGTGCATTTCGGGAATATGTGCAGAACGCCCCAACAGACGGCCGATTTTAAGGCGATGTTGGACGAGGTTGCGGAAATCAAGCGGCCGAATGGACTGAATTCGCGGGGAAGATGGGAGTTGAGGGATGAATTTAAATGAATTGGAGTTTTTGGGAAATTGGTCACATGGAGGCATTATTTATGCTCATGACTTGCATTTGGAGGAAATACCCTGGGAGCATTGTTATGGGAGAATCATGGAATCAGAGAGCGTTTGTTGCACGATTTCTGGCGCTTAGATATGGGTCGTTTAAGGGGGTTGGCAAGCATGGCCTCACTTTACATTGATCATAGAGCTAGCATTGAGCAAAGATAATTCAATGGCACTAGGTGCCTTGCTAATATTTCAGAGAAACGAAGACGTCGTTAAACTCAACTCATTTACAAAATCTTGAACTGTGACTGTTGGAATATTCAAGTGTAATTTATTGTAAGCCCTTATTGCGCACTCAGGGGAAGCTAAATATATAGCCCAAAGACTATGCGAGACTAAAAGCCATAGGGTACCACAACAGCGGGTTAGCACAAATAATCATAATAATCATGACTAACTTATTCGAATAGTCAATTATTACGTAAGCATGATTGAGTTTTTTCGATAATCATGAATATTCATGATTATCACATGATGTTAGAATCACGTGGCCTAAGTAATTATCTAGTATAGTAGAAAAGGAAACCAAATATATATTAATCTATTGAATCTTTAGGTAGACCATCGTTCAGGTTATCTCACCCCATAGCGCCTTTGGTAGGTTGGCTTCTGTCATCACTGTTACGATATCAAGTGCGCCTTGCAGCTCGAGTGGGGGTTCAGGGGTGTGGGGAGCTTTCCGGGGTTGGAGCGAAGTTTTCAGTTGTGGAGTGAATTCTCAGAACTGGTCTCGCTAAAGAGAATTCACTCCACAATAGCTGTATATAGATCGAGCCACTGCTCGAGTGCTCCTCTTCTCTTTCCTTTCTTCTCTAGATTGGGTTTAATTCATAATACCCAACTGGCGCCCTATGCCTTGGTGAACCGTGACATAAAACTCAATCTCTCTTATACCTCTTTTCCTGCTCTTTGAGCTGAACCCTCTTCTGAAATCGAAATCGAAATCCACTCTTTGAAAACCCCAGAACCAGAAACCTTATCCGGAAGTCGATTCCAGGACGATCTCGAGGCAACCCCTCAAAGTTGGCTTTCGACAGTCAGCTCGACACACATACACCACCTTCGCAAGTCAGACCTTTTACAACGCTCCCTCGACAAGGATATAACTGTGAGGGAAGTGCGCTCCTCTCGAGTGGCTCCTACGGCCAACAACTGCACAATAGGGCCTTTGGCAATATGTGTCTGACTTGACGATATAAACTGAAATTGAAATAGCAACTCGCTATGGCTTATACTGCTGAAGAAAAAGCTGCAATGGCAGCTCGAAATGATCCAGAACAAGACCAGGAATCCCTGGCAGAAGGAGCATCAATTCCAAGCTCTGCAAACCAAACCAATGAACTTCATGATCCTAATTTCAAATCTGAAACCTTCCTTCATACTCTGGGCAAAACAGCTCAAGAGAGACATGAATCTATACTTGCAAATCGACATGAAAAGGCTGAATGGAATGTTGAAACCTTTGACGAATTCCAGAAACTATCTGTCGCCAACCAGAAAATGGCATGGACTTTGCACAAGAACATTCTTCGGGACTATTTGGCCCTAGCATAGGACTCAAATTCGATACTGGCTGAAAAGGATGATGCCATTCTCCAGTTACAGGAACTGATCCAGAGCAACGAGCAACAAATCACAGAGCAACAAACAATTCAGAAATATCTTGAAAAGCAAACCCAACAAGCTCTGAAGAATGAACCAGGACACCACTCTCACAGTCGACTGTCAGCTCGGATTCCAGACCCTCCAATCCTCACAGATGGGATAGAGCCAGCATTTGAAGACTGGGTTGTGAAAATTCGCCTCAAGCTCGAAGCCAACATTGATCATTTTCCAACACAGACTTTACAAATGAGCTACATTCAGAGTCGACTGGGAGGACTGGCAGTTCGACATGTCAATCCAAGGCTTCGACCAAACTCTACAAACAAATTGCAGACAGCAGAAGAAATTCTCGAACTTTTGGAAAAAGTCTTCAGTGATCCCGATCGAAGGCACACAGCTCAAACTGAGTATCGAAAGCTGTATCAGAGAAACAACACCTTTGCAGTGTTCTGGGCTGAGTTCCAAAGGCTCACGACAGAGCTTGATTACTCTGAAGAAACTTTGCTGGATGACTTGCGCTTCAAAGTCAACCAACAGATGCAGAAAGCCTTAGTGGCTGAAGTTGGAGCTACTACACTTCACGAGTTTGCAAAGAAATGCATGCTCATCGACCAGAACATTCAGCGGATCAAGGAACAAGAAGACAAAAGGAAGCCAAAGTCATTTTCGAACAACATGGGCCAAACTTAAAATCAGGGCCAGGCACTTCAAACTTCAATCCCTCAACCTACAATGGATTCCAACATGCAAAACAAGACGCAGAAGCTGTATCGACCACCGCATCAAGATCCAGCAAAAGAAATGAGCATGAAACTTGGGAAATGCTTCATATGCTGACAAAATGGACATCGAGCTCGAGACTGTCCCCAGAAGCTCAAAGCTCAAGTGAATGAGGTATCTACAGCTGAGTCTATCATCGATTCGGAAAACGAATAGCCTCTAGACAAGTCATCACTAGAGGCAGTGCAGCCAGAATTGCAGCTTCTTCCTCGAGATCCAGTTTTGATCCGGACACCCCTTTCTTAGCTACTTGTAGAATAGGAAAATACAAAGCTATTGTCCATGCATTGATCGAGACTGGTGCCACAGGTGGAAACTTCATTAATGCTGCTGATGCAGAAAGAATATGTGAAATCGAAGGGATAGCCCCAGTCGAACTTGTGAAGCCAAAACAAGTTGAAGGATTCAATGGAGAGGCTGCCCCTGCTATCACACATGCTATATATCCTCGACTACAAGTGGGAGAGCATGTGGAAAGCCTATGTCCATTATTCATTACTTCGCTGGGAAAACATTCCATCATTCTCGGGAAAGCTTGGATGAAGCAACATGGAGTTGTTCTCGATATGATCAATGATCAAGTCCTCTTCACTGGAGATTATTGCAACCATTCTATACCAGATCGAGCCCTCGAAACAGAGCCTATATCTAAAAGCGAAAGACAAAGGCCAAAGAAGAAAGCCAAAGAAATGCCTCCTCCGGAACCTGCTCTGAAAGTGGAAAAACCAAAACCTTGCACCATAGCAATGATTGGCGCAGCACCATTTCGAATGCTCATGAAGCAAAGAGGAGCTCAAGTCTTTGCTATATCAATGAAGGACATAATCGAGCACAAGAACAAGACCAAAACTGAAGAAATTGACTCTCGACTGATCCTTCCGAAGGAATTTCATGAATTTTTGGATGTTTTTTCAAAAATGGCAGCAGACAAGCTACCTCCCCATCGACCTTCAGACCATCATATTGAACTCGAAGGTGATGCAAAGCTGGGATATGCACCACTCTGGAATATGTCAAAGGAAGAACTTGATTTGGTCGAAGAATATGTCTTCGAGCACTTGCCAAAAGGGTTCATTGAAGCAAGCAAAGCCCCATACTCTTCACCCATTATGTTTGTGAGAAAGCCAGGTGGTGGTCTTCGATTCTGTGTTGACTACAGGAAGCTAAATGCCATAACGAAAAAGGATCGATATCCCATACCACTCATTGATGAAACGCTGGCCCAAGTCATAGGAGCAAAATATCTCACCAAACTGGACATTCGACATGCCTTCAATCGAATTCGAATGCAGACAGAAGAAGATGAAGACCTCACTACATTCAGAACTCGATTTGGATCCTACAAATACAAGGTCATGCCCTTCGGACTCACAAATGGTCCAGCAACATTCCAGAGGTACATGAATGAAACCCTCATGGATTACCTCAACCAATTCGTCACCGCATACATGGATGACATTCTTATTTACAGTGCTACTCGAGCGGAGCATACAGAGCACATAAGGAAAAGTCCTACAGAAGCTTCGAGAAGCTGGACTGCAAGCAGATATCTCAAAATGTGAGTTTTTCGTCCAAGAAACCAAATTCCTAGGACTCATCGTGGGAGTCAATGGCATTCGCATGGACCCTGCAAAGGTTTCTACTATATTGGAATGGCAAACTCCAAAATCGCTCAGGGATATGTAAGCTTTTATTAGATTCTGCAATTTCTATCGAAGGTTCATCCGAAATTACTCCAGCATCATGAGGCCATTGGTGAACCTTACCAGAAAGGATCAGATATTTGAATGGACTCATGCATGCCAAACTGCATTCGAGCTGTTGAAACAAACAGTCACAGAAGCTCCTGTCTTGAGGCATTTCGATAGAAACAAGACAGCCTATGTTGAAGCAGATTCCTCAGACTTCATCTCTGTAATGGTGGGTGCACCAGATGTGAGAATCTAGCCACCCAAGGAAGGGATGAATTTACTAAGACAACACACTGTCTTAGAAAACAGAGCCAAAGGGTCGTAGCTTAGACTATTCCACAACGCAGCAATCAGGTGTGTGATGTAGTGAAGTGGTTCAGACAAGTTGCAACAAATGTTGAGTCTGGGAACTCAGGGGTAAGTCAGAGGTTAACACCTCACTGACTTTTCAGAAACAAGGAGTAACAAGATGAATGCTTGGAAGCTTGGAAAAGACGTGGAAGTATGTGATAGTCGATTTACTGTATTGTCTGCTTGCCCTTTCTTAAGGAAAGGGCAATCCTATTTATGCTAAAGGAGTGTAGTTCTCTCATTTTCCAAGACTTTCCATGACTTACCAGGCTTGGTAACTGTAGTCGACGTAAGAGAATCCCATAGAACCATCTCTTAGGTTCGTAGCCTATAGGAAGTAAAAGGAGGTCCAAGGTCAGAGTACCCCTATAGACAAATTATGTCATAGACAAATTATGTCATAGACAAATTATGTCATAACTTAACCAATCTTGTGGGTAACTAAAGAGCGATGACATGTAATGAATCATAGAGGTTCGTAGGAGCTTTTAGAGCTATCGTTCATGCTCCTAGGCCTCTAGTTGGTAGAGATATGTCATGTGGTAGTATGAGTGATGTCATGTAATGAATCATAGAGGGTTGTAGAGATATGCTATGTGGTAATATCGGCCCAGTAACTAAGGAGCGATGACGTGTAATGAATCATAGATGGTTGTAGCAATCGTTGAGTAGTATTGCTCTTGTTGTTGGTGTGATAAGCCAAAATATGTATAGTGACTTGTAGGTTTGAGGAGGAGATTTCCAAGTTTGCTCTTGAGTTTGATAGCAAACTGAGTGCAACGAATGTCAGTATGACATCGTTGGGTCGTTTTTTCAGTCCGTATTCTCATTTGAAAATCGGTCGTTGTAAAGGCACATAATACTGCGCCGTTCCTCTCGTTTTTGAGAGTCTGCGAAAGGCCATCGACATAATAGCCCTTCTTTCGAACTCTGGTCGCCGAGAACAAGTTTATGGATAGCTCTGGCAAGTGATAAACCTGTTCCAAGAGTGCCTCCGTTTTACAGCCCGTATCGTCCAGAATCGTGAGCCGGATAGTTCCAACTCCAGCGGCCCGAGTCATGCCTCCAGCGGTTTCGATGGTTAGCTCCTGGCTCTCATTGACGGTGTGGCTCTCAAATATAGAGCGATCATGCGTCATATGGTGGCTGGCGCCGGAATCGAGTATCCAGTCGGGCTGTTTAATGGCTCCGATTGACACGAAAGCTGCGATCAGGGCGACGGCTTCCTTTTTCCGGTCGGCGATGAGCTTTTTGATATGCTCAGGCATGAGCTTTGGATATTTTATCCAGCATTTATCCTCGCTGTGGTTAGGCTTTTCGCAATGGGTGCAGAGCTCTTTAATTCTGGGTTCATTCTGAGCCCCTATTCCGCTTCTGCCGCCACGGCTGCCTCCACGATTTCCGCCCCTGCCGCCGTTTTTCCCACCCGTTTTTGGGGGTTGGTTCCCATATAGAGCGACAGCTCTTTCGTCGGCGACTAGTCTCGAGCGGCTTTCTTCTAGAAGCCTGTCCATTAGGTCATCTAGATTACTGATCGTTGGCATCTTTCCCAGCTCATATTTTCTCATTTTGCCCCTGTATTTGTCCGCCCAGGTAGGAAACGTAGCCTGGACAGCGTTCAGGTAATGCAGCATCGACATGGCCGCTGGGACTTCAAGTCCTGCTCCTTTGAGCTGCGAGTTTATATTTTTGAGCCGGATATTGAATGTAGCGACATCTTCTGGATCAAGCGTCAGGGTATACCAGTCATCGAAGGCCTGCGTCAAGATGTAATTGGCCTTTCCTTTGTACCGGTTTTCGAGCAGTATCCAGGCTTCAGCAGCATTGACTGTCCCTCTGATCGTGTCTAGAGTATCAGAGCTACAGGTGGCTTCGATGATCGAATAGGCCTGGGCATTGCCCGTAAACCATATGATAAAGGGCTCTGATTTATTGCCGATGCCTAGTTCTTCGTTTGGATTGGCCGCCGTGGGCTTTACCCCTTTTTCCACGCCGAGAGCGTATTCGATGACGCCCGCCTGGCTAGTGTCTGTTCAATTCGTCGCTTCCATGATAGGAAGTTGGCGCTGCCTTTGAGCTTCTCATGGCTCTTCAGGGTAGTGAGCAGATGCTCTGTCGTCATTCTAGGCCAGTGATGCTGCTGGCGACGACAGTATCGATGCGACGGTTTGGAAGCTTCGATGCTTCAATTGATCGATATTTTGGTTATAAGATCTCTGCACTGATCCCGGGCTCATAACCTGTTGGACAATATCCGTAGGGCAGTAGGTAGAGAATATAAGCCGAAAATACAGTCACGAAGCAGTAGGGCCCGAAGTGATAATTTTATAATGCATGTTTTTATAATTGAAGCTATTCTAAATACTATATATACTGTTACGGGTGTGCCTATTCGTGGTTCGGATCCTAAAACCCTCCTGGTTTCGGTTCGTTCCCTGGAGCTTCAGAATCGAAGCTTTAGAATCGGAAGATCCAGGATCCGGAGGATCACGAAGCTGGCTGACACAGCTTCGGTATCAGGGCCCTGATCCCTGCTTCCGGGCCGAGGATTCAACATTACATATTACCAGTGCCTCTGGGCCTCCATATAAACAATCTGATAACATCGACGATCTCCTCCCGAATCAGGGTAAATCATTTGTCGCACAAGCCACCGAAACGTCATATCCGCTTCCGCCAAGACCCATACCGAGGCTGCCCTCTTCTATGAATATATGAACGAAAACCCGAAGCTGGTCTCGGACACGAATAACTCTCGCGCCGGCGCAAGCCGCAAGACCTATTCCCTCTGCAACGAGTGCGCGACATCGACGGCCCCTCGCCCAAACGCACCTTCATGTCCGAACAGAGCGATGATGCTGTGCCGCCCAGCTCTGTGCCCCTCGCGCCCTCCACGGACAGTTCAGCGGATCCCAACCCCCCAGCAGCGCCCATAGCCACGCCTGCCAATGAGGCCGACGAAGAACCGCTCAGCGGATTCGACGATGCGCGGCGTATCGTGAGGCTGCTCCAGTGCGCGCAATGCTCCTTGCCACTTCGCGAACCTATGACGCTGTCGTGTGGCAATTCGCTGTGCAAACAGTGTCTGCCAGAGATACATACGCGGCAGAACATAACGTATCCAGCGACCGCGGCGCGGATGCAAGGGATCGATTGCCCGTTTCCGGATTGTATGAGGAGCCACGCGCTGGGGGATTGTAGCATGGATGTTACGCTGTCAAAAGTTGTAGCCCAGGCTAAAAACTCCATGGACGAGTTTCGACCCGTCATAGGCGAGGCGCCGATACTGCTCGAGGAGAAGGATGAATGGGCAGCTGCCGGAATAGCGAGTCTCAGCGGCAAATCACCGAGAAGTAGAGCTTTGCCAGGTGGCCGGCTAATAGCAACATATAGGATGGTAGAGTTGGGCGAGCTCGCCCACGACGCGGAAGTCGCATATAAACCCCTCTCCGGCGCGACAGGAGACTCCAAAGACCTCGACGCAACGACCCTGGAAGCAGTCAAGGAAAAGATCCGCAGCGAGTTCGACTGCCAGATCTGCTACGCCATCTATCTAGATCCCCTCACCACGACCTGCGGCCACACATTCTGCCGCAAATGCCTCCAGCGCGTTCTAGACCACTCCTCGTACTGCCCAATCTGCCGCCGCCTCCTTGACCTATCCCACACCATATCTCCCACCCAATACCCCTCCAACGCGCGCCTCGCTTCCCTCCTCGCTGGCCTCTGGCCCTCCCTCCTCACTGCGCGCCGCGCCCTCTTCGCAACAGAAGAATCCCCCTCCCCACCCGACCTCAACCTCCCCCTCTTCATTTGCACTATCTCTTTTCCCACTATGCCCACCTTCCTCCATGTCTTCGAGCCCCGCTACCGCCTCATGATGCGCCGCGTCCTCGACTCAGACCGCCGCTTTGGCATGCTCCTGCATAACCCCGAACAGATCCCCCAGCCCGGCCTCGCCACCACGCCCCTTTTCTTCGAATATGGCACCCTCCTCCATATCGTCAGCGCTCAGCTCCTGCCCGATGGGCGAAGCCTCATCGAAACAGTCGGTATCTCGCTCTTCCGCGTCCTCCGCCATGGCGTCCGAGACGGCTACCTAGTTGGTAGCGTGGAGCGCGTCGAGGATCTCCCTCTGGCTGACGAAGAAGCCCTTGAGATCGCCGACACCGCTATCACTGTAGATGCAGACGCAGATGCAGGCGCGGACGTGGATGCGAACCCATTCGCCGCCCTCTCGACACAAGATCTCATGGCACTCTGCACGGCATTTGTCCGCCGCATGCGCGCGGCGTCTGCGCCATGGATGGATGCACGCACGCTGCGCGTCTACGGGGAATGTCCTACGAGTCCCGCGCAGTTTCCGTGGTGGTTCGCTAGTGTGCTACCGTTACCAGAAAGGGACAAGTATGCATTATTGCAGACGACGAGTGTGCGGGAGCGGTTGAAGATTTGCGCAGCGTGGGTGGAAAGGATAGAGAGGGTGCCGGAGTGTGTACTTTCCTGTTTGTGACAGTTTTTGGACGTTCAGGGGCTAATGAGTTGGGTAGGCCGAATAGGAGTAGTAGCTGTGTGGTCATTTGACTCGCGGTTGTGGGGATTATGACGGTGGTTTTAGGCGTCTGGGTTGCTCCAGAGGGGGCTTGATGCAAGGCGATGCGCTGCCTTCTCTGTGATCGTCCATTCGCCTCTTGCTGTTGCCGTCGAATTCCCACAGCTGTGCGTCTTCGTGTAAATATTTGGCCGCAGACCAGGCCAGTCACATACCGTTTATCATTGGTTGTTGTGGGAAAGTGTGTTAAAAACCTCTCATACGTGGCAGGGTTATTTGGGTTTGTTTGTGTTTATAGCATTGGAGTTTATGTGTGCATACTGGCGTTGGGATGTATTATATTTCGTGGTGGGCATGATAGCCAGAGTTTTTTGAGACCAGTAGCCACTGGAGCTGGGAGTCAAGGTGGTATTAGGGCGTTAATTTCACATTTTACGGGACAGAGTTTTGTATAGGGGCTGTATACTGTGCCTGGCGGTGGCCAGGTTGTATATATCGTGTAAGATGGTAGATGATTAGAGTTGCATCTACATGCATTCATTATTGTTTTACTGTACCCGCGGTGAATATTCCGATATATCCAACGAGAATGGTTTGTGGCTACAATATTCACAGTGTATTTCACTGCGTAGCAAGTAATCTGGATTTAATATCGTTCTTGGTATCTGCCTATTGTAATATACAGTTGTGCATCATCAAACGCCATATCCATCCGCCATCTGCGTCAAGGAATATCCCTCTGGTATATAATTCGGCGCCAAAGACCGTATATAGCCCTGAACTCCACTTCATACGTGCTCTTAAATGGCCATTTCAGGACTAGAATATTCCTAATAGAAGGTCTCGGCGACGTGTCGATGTGCTGCTCTAATCATGAACACGTGAAACCGAAACACTGTATATCGTGTCCGATGTCCGCAAAGGGACCGCATATCTTACAACTAGCTTTCGTCGTGGTGATAGTAGCTAGCATTGGACGTTCATCTGTATCCGCGGCCTCTCGCTCCACCACGTCCACCGCCCCGGTTGTAACCTCTCCCGCCGTCACGGTAATTGCCCCTGTCACTCCTCCCGTCAACCATGTTGTCGCTGTACAGCGGTTTCGGGGCTTCGTATTGATCCGTGTCCATGCGATCGTCCTCGAATCCGTATGAGCCATCCACAACTTCATTTCTGCTGCTGCCACGGTTGCGTTGATTGTAGTGATCGGAGTCCGCAGGGCGCGTAGGCCTGGCGTTGTTGCGGTCAGCGCGAGGGCCGACCGGGATGGCAGGGCCAGTAGGGGCTGTGGCAGGCCCAGCGGCTTTAGGGGCAGGAACAACGTCGGGCTTGATGAAGAGGTTGAGGACACGCCCGTCGGCCTATATTGTCGTTTATTAGTGGAATCCTAGCTAGGCAAAGCAATTTGAACTTACAGTCTGGTTATGGAAAGTTTCGATGATCGCGTTGGCACCCTCTCTGTGCTCAAACACGATCTCGGCGATAACGATCGGCCTGGTTGCTACGATGATGCATTTGAGGATTTTGCCGCCAATTGGTGTCATTGCGCTCTCAATGTCCGCTCCAGTTGTTCCAGGTGCGAAATTCTGTGCTTGAACGGTGGTTGGACCTGCAATGCCGCGGATGGACAAGCCAGTGCCCGCCTTTGGGAGCACATTGAACTGGGCGTTCAAGTTGGGCGACGACGCAGAGTTGCTGAGTAGGGTGCGAAACTGAGCATTGCGGCCGGGTTTCATGTTCTTGTTATAGAAGGACGATGGAGCAAGTGGGCTGGGGTTGTTGACGCCATGGAGATCGTGGGTCCAGTCTGAGTTGACATTGCCTGCGGGAACTTGTCTCTTGGGGAACTTCGCGGAGCCTATGGGTTTCGGTGTGATGGAGCGGGAACGTTCCTGGATTAAACAGTTAGACCTTTACTATTCGAATCTTGCGACCATTGCACACGGTATGAGAGTATATCACTAACTTTGCTAATGCCGACTCTGCTGGCAAGAGAAGGGCCAGTTCCTGGCTTACGGAAGGCTGCGGCGCCAGGGGCACTTTGGCGACGACCACGGTTGAAAATGTCATCTGCAAGTGCTTCATTCTTACGTCTTGTGCGATCTAGACGGAATATCATAAGATTGATGTCAACAGGCAGAATGGAGTGCTAACATACCAGTCTGGATGATCTTATCGAAGTCCACGGCGACTTTGCGTCCTGCCATGGTTACCTGTGGAATTAGTTTCACTTACCACTTCAAATAAACACTCTCTGACTACGTAAGTATGCCAATAAACACTCTCTGACCACGTAAGTATGCCAAGGCTGGATGCGACTTGGAGGGAAGTGTCAAGGTGTGGGTATGTAAGGTTTCGAGGAAGGCGCGTTGGGGTCAGCTTCGATACTTTCCTCATAATTTGATTAGGTAAGCGAGGCTGAGTTGCCCCTTCCCTTATTGGCCGTTCTCATATAATCAGTTCGTCCCATGAACGTGAGAACCTTCTCTTCCCATTATCGGCGACAGTTTTTGATATTTCTAGACTGGAAACTAGTTACTATTTGTTTCTGGGAGCCGATGGTGAAATTATCATTCTATTATTTCCTGTCTGCCTTCAAGCTGGGTTCTTATTACCCAGCGTCTTTGACACAGGGTTGGAGGTCTGAAGTTAGCTCAAAAACTGAAATTGAGGCTCGACATTGAAACCTAGCATATTATTTCAGAGGTCTATCGCCTGATTCACACCATGAAAAAAGTATCCGGCGATATATCGCCTGGGACCAGGAAAATGAACGAAGCTCCAGCAACAAGAGGCCCGCCGTCTCCTCCAAGGCGCCTTAATCGGAGCAAATCTGTATTCTCACTTGCGCAAGATTTCTTCAAGATGGCGGTCAACTCATCTCCTGATAAACCAACGCCTAGTTCCCAGAACATCTATGCGAAGCCAGGATCCTGGAACATTTTTGGGTCGTTACGAGGGACATGGGCCGGTGCCAGTCCTGGTGCCAACTCTCAGAGACCAGTGGCGCGCAACATATCACAATCTCTGAAACCATCAGACACCTGTAAGTACATCTTCACTCCTAAGACATCGCAAAAGTCTCCACAACCTTTTCGGAACAGTGGGTAAAAGAGAATTCTAATAGAGCTGACTTTTCAGACCATGAGGAGGGTGCAGCATCTTCACTCCTAAGACATCGCAAAAGTCTCCACAACCTTTTCGGAACAGTGGGTAAAAGAAGCTCCATGAAAGGACGCACACCAGACCAAACAGTGCAGTCAAATGTACTGCGAAAAAGAAGCGGAGGCGAGAATACCTTGCAGATCCCTGACAATCCTGGTGTCCAATCAATTAAAGATGCGGATCGGGTTCGTCCTCCGCAAACCTATGCAGCTGGATCTCATGCAGCAACTGGCCGCGGAAAGGTGACATTTAAGGATGAAATTGTAGAGCCAGTGGCTCGTCCCGACTCCGGCGTTAATGTCGACGCCATCTATGCCCCTCGGCGTGACTATCAAGGCAGCACATTGGCACCAAGAGCTCCAGATCAAAAGCAAACAGAAGCAGCTTTTCTTCAACCACCCAAAGCACCAATAGAACTGGTTTGCTTACCAAAGAAGCCCTCGTCAGGCATGGATTCTGGCGGCTATGCAGCTCCATTTCCTCCAACATGTTTTGATAGGCGTCCAGCAACCCAACATATGGTTTCCCGGAGTGACTCTTGCCTGACAGGCCCTTACCCTGGAACGATATCTCAGAGCCTACGAAGGTAAGCAATCTCTCTCCAGTATCTTAAAACTTTAAGCTGGATCTTGGTTTAACAGTGTCCAAAGTCTCAAAGAGAACTTGGATTTTGGTGGCCCAGATTATAATATACTTCTCGCAAGCCCAGGTATGCCGTCAAAAATTGATATCAATCCATCTTTTACATCTCGTGCACAAGCCTTGGAACAGAGATATAATAACCTATTGGTCCAATCTCGACTTAAAAAAACCTCGAATACCGAACATGTCCCACAAAGCATTTTGGAATCAATCAATCAAAATGCCGCAAGAATGTCTAAGAACTTGAACATCTCTGAGGGTCGCTCCGGTCAAAGCAGACACTCCTGTCACTCAAACGAAACGGCGCCACTAGGCTCTCTGCCCCAGGACAGTTCGATAAATACCGGTTTTCTTGGGCATGAATGTGGAACGTTCACCCAAGATGATACGGTTGACGTGAGTACTACCAAGTTTTTCGTAGCTATCTCGGAAGTTTGGAAAGGGGCTTAAATTTGAGAAGAACATATGAAAGTATGCTGTTTTAAAACTAACAATTTATAGAAAACCAATTCCTCCCTCGACAAAAAAGTTGTCTTGGACACCATGCCGAAGAAGGGCAACACTACTCCCTCAAGAGAGAACGTCATATGTGACGAGCGCCCCGATAAGTTCCCAGGAAGCACACTTCGTGAGACGCTATCAGCCAGCCCCCTTCTGGTTCCGAAAAGGACGAAGACTTTGCCACCGAGAAAGAAGCGACGCGCAATGAGATCGACGACTAGGAATATCTCTATAGGCCCATTCCATATCGACTTCCCCAAAACCGAATTCGGCGAAGCGCGCCATGAGACGTACCAATCCAAGAGTGACGCTATTGGAAGTTTATTCCAAAACCCGGTAGTGTATTCCAATTATATTCTCTTCGACCGAGGTTCGAGCACGTTTTATCCACAGCCTAAAGGCTACGTTTTCAAATCTCTGGATGATAAGTCCAAACCTAAACTGGAATGCATCTGGCTACCCATGCAATTTGGAAATTTTAAGGCCATGGGCCTTAGTCAAGAACTGAGTCTCAATCGTTGTGCTGGTAACCATCACGGTGGCAATCACCAACTGCCAGATATTAGAGAATGCGAAGGAGCTGCGCCAGCTACTTTGACAGCTCAGCCTGAAGAAACCCAAGATATAACAAGCAAACCGTCCAATCATTCGCTACTAGATTTATATTTGGGCACTCCGAAAGGCACCCCGGAAGGCACCCCGGAGGGCAAACAACAGAGGATGGAAGCAGGCATGTGGAAACAGCCAGAGGTAACACTAGCCATGACCCTTCCAATCCGTTTGGCAAAACCACTGGGAGAACCTGCAAGTCCCCCAAAACTAGGTATCTGGGGAGATATAGACGATGGAGTCATAACAGAGCCAATGGCTGAGGAATACAGTATTGGGAAGACGAAGACTTGGGCAGATCTCGGCGTTGAGTTCATTGACAAGTACGCCCCCAACAAAAATGCGGATGCTCAGAAACGAGCAGTAGATGCAGCACGGAATTTTCTCAGAGCACAAGGAAAACTTACTTCCGATTACGACTCATTTACCAGGCCACAGAGGAAAACATGGTCTCGGGATAGGGACGGAAGCGAGGATATTTCGTTTTTACACATTGAGGATCTTGCAAGATATGAAACTCTGCGAGCTGAGTATCGGAGGCATATGACGATGTTCTCTGAAAGCTCTTCTGGTAGCAACAGCACCGATGCTCTAGCTGAGGTCAATTATACCCCCAAAACTCGTGAAGTATCCAGGGCATCATCTCGGGACAGCGGATACGCTGGGATAGATGCAACTTTGGCTGAACTTCACTTGAGTTCTTGGGAAATGTGCACGACAAGCGAGGCTTTTGCGATAAGTTCACAGTGTAGCTCCTCGACGGCGGTAGAAGAGATTGCAGCCCCGAAGGCTACAAGCAAGATAACTTTCTCGCCGTCTCATTCGCCTGCTCCATCAGTGGGAGAGGAACACGTGCAGTCACCCGTTCTGCAATCAATTAGGGCCATGGGCGACGGTACACCGCCGAGAATCGTACGGACATGCAGTTTTGGAAAGTTCGAGTTTGAGCTTGAGAACCCCTTCAACACTCAAATTGGAAACGGGGATATCACCGGCAATATTGATACAGAGGGCTTTAAAACGCCACGAAGGGGTCCCCTCCAAGGAGAAAGGTCCAATTTCATACGGCAAGGAAGGATGATTCAACACCAACCTGCCAGTCAAGCAGAGGCTGCATATCATGGCCCAACTGATGAACCACCACTCCAGAAAAGGAATCGCGATGAAGAGGATGAGAAAGAGAATGAGGAAAGAAATTGGAGAGACATGATGCTCTATGGATAGGCCTGCATCAACTTTCATTTCCGGAGAATAACCCAAAACGACCACACGCGGACTATTGTTATTTTACTAACAATTGGACTGTATTCATAGTGTACAACTTTCGTGAGTCAATCAGCATTTGTTTAGGATGGCGTTTCCATAAAAGCCGGCGGAAGTCTACACGCCTGAGCACCATGGGAAGTGGCCGAGGGTAGCTGTATTTTATCATAGGCATTCATTTGTATTCGTAGTATGGCCAGTATCCGAGAGATAGTTTCGGTTTTCACTGTCCAACTGCAGTCTTCTCAACCGTATTAAGTTTCATTAATTCGCTGTGACTTACACAGGCTTGGTTGTAGCCTATGATATGCATATATATGATACAGGTAATATTGATACAAGTCATATCTGACCCGAACTTGACCAAAACGCCAAGTTCTGAAAGGGCGGAGTTGGCCCTTTTTAGTTATACAAGAATTGATCCACAACTGGAATTATCAAGCTGTAGTTCATTTCGGTTGGTCCTCCGTTCTAGTTGTTTCTGTAGTCTGCTCAACTACGCTCTCTGTAGCCTGCTCAGCTACTTTCTCCGTTGCTGGTATCTCTGGTCTCTCCTTATTCCAAGTCCTAAAGCTTGAGGCTTTAAACCTGTTCCAAGTATCTGGCTCGTACTTGGTTTTAAATTTCGTCACAAGGGCCGTAAGCTTCGAGCGTTCCCTAGTAAGAGTTCTATAGTCCTCTCGTGGAACCATTCCAGCGTCCATCAGCTTATCATAAGCGCTGATCATTCTCTGGGCTAGCTTAAGAGCGTCCTGTTGGTACGAGGAGTCTGTACTTAAGCCGTCTCTGAGGCTTTGTGACCGAGATCTCGCTTTGTTTGTGGTCCCATAAGTCAAGGTGGCCTTGATATTGAGGATAGAGGGCGATACTCTGTCGAGAGCTGCTACGATCCTTTTGCCCTTCTCGAATTTGGCCAACCTAACATCTTCAGGCTTCCGGCTCTCTAGGGACTGAGCGGGCTGTGCCTTCGCGTCCAAGAAAGGTATCAATTCCACAAGGTCTGCCTCGACAAGGGCTTGCTTCATCTGCCGGATATATTCAGCGGAAAGTTGGCGAGTTTTGCTCTCCAGAAAACGGTTCGGGCCCGTGTCGGACTCAATCGCACAATCAAGGTAGATGTGGAGAGTAGGGAGGTCAATATTATCTATGGTTTCTTGCATTAAGTCGACCACCTTGGTCGCGTTACTGAAGGAATTTGGGTTGTGCTTGTCGCGCGCACATGCTGCTATTGCGAGGCGGAAAGTCTTCTTTTCGAGCATATGGTGGGGCATCTTTTCAAGCACATCAGCTGCCTCATCGCTGAGACGTGCCTGTCGTAGAATGCGAAGATAGTCATGGTAGTTCGCACTATCCGGTTCAACGTTATAATGCATAGTAAATATCTCCCAGTATAATGTAGCCTGCTTTCCCAACTTAGCCTTCAGTAAGGCAACCATGATTAGAGATAGTGTATTTCGCCCGGGTCGTGGGAAGGAGCTCAGTCCTCTGCCATATGTGTCCTTGCGAGTCGCTGGAACTATCCGTTTAAATTGACCGTGTGAGGCGAGAGAAGGGCCAGAATCAACCCTGGCCTGGTCTAGTTTTACATTTTCCCACTCTTCCAGTGATTCGCTCTCTTGTGGTTTCTCAATTGCCTCGACTCGTCTTCCATGTGGTATAACGAGTTGTGGGATCTTCATAGCCTGCCTGAGGAGGGCAAATACATCATCCCTGTCTCTGTCACCTCCCATCAGCAGGATCCTGCCCAAACTGCAGACAAGTTCTTCATCGATCCAAAGATCACCATGTCGCCAGCGGCTCGCTATGTCATCCCACATTCGTCGTGCGTCCATCACAGACTTGTCCCGAAGTGGCCTAAGCTCTTCTGCGCTGATTTCGGTCGTGAGTCTTTTGATTGCGTTATCACGAATCGCGTTGAATATGATGGTAAATGTGAGGTTGTTTGGAGCCCGTATGCCCTTATCTCGCAGTTTAGCAGAAATTCCAAACAGAGCATCCATATCCCCCGCCTGTGCGCATACTTTTAGCACAGAGTTGGTGTGAATGATGTTGGGCTGGACAGGGGCATTCTCGGCGTCCATAGAATGGTATATCGACAATGCGTGAGCAACAGCAGATGGATGCTGATGCGCATGCTGTGCCAAGCCCCTGAATATGAGAGTATATGTGTATGCATCAGGCGTCTGGCCTCGTTTCTTCATCTCGTTGTATGACTTAACGGCGCTGTTTATCTTTCCCTTCTTGCATTGCCAATCGATAAGATGGTTCCAGCCAACTGTACAATCGATTGCAGCGCTTGATCTCCGAACCAAATCTTCGGCCTCTTCGAATCTATCTTTCTTGAGCTTCGCAAGTGTATCGTCCGCCAATTTCAGCGGATCCCGGTATTTCAAGTCCCGCCGCCTCTCGGGCCCAACGACGGCGTAATCATGGCTGCCAAACCGATTTATCCCAGAGATATCCCCTTTCGAAAACGACGTTGATTGGGATCGCTCTGAGTCCCTACTTATCCTGAACCTCTGCTGCGGTTCTCCACTTCTCCTTCCGGACCGCCTCTCATCTTCGATTGCGGACTCGGCCTGGCTGCCAAACGTCCTATGCGACAGAGAAGTAGAACTCCTCGCAACTGGCGCACATATCCGAGACGATGAAATCCAAGACTTCGCTGCGATATTTGTCATATACCGCTTTACGTATGGCCGGTAGTGCAACATGGTCGAATCGTTAGAGCTTTCGCAAAGTTCGTGAAGGGTTCACTTAACTTTTTGGTATCTTAAAGTTTTCACGTGATGTGGCGATGGTAAATTTCTCGGGCCGGAACAATTATTTCGGCGCAATACAGGGGTAACGCGAAGCGCGGACTCTACGCGTGTACCTGGGGTCCTTTACGCGTGATTGATAGCCAGGGCCTTCAACGCGCGAATTCACCCACCAAGTGCAACCACATTCTCAAAACATTGTCTCCATTGAGTGAACGGGCAGAATTGAACAACCGCACCGCTATGTTATTTTAAATTTGTATTTCTCGGTTCAACACTTCATCATGTCGAAATCTGCTCGCTCGTCAAAATTGGCAGAGCTTCGTGCTCTTCGTGAGTCGGGAAAGAAGCGCCTCGATACTTACGAAGTGCACCAAGAGGAGGATCTATACGAAGAAGTGGATGAAGATGGATACAAAAAGGTTATCCGTGACCGCCTAAACCAGGATGACTTTGTCATAGATGACAATGGAGAGGGTTATGCCGACGACGGCCGAGAAGACTGGGACCGGCGGCAAGGTTACGATAGCGAGAGCGAGGAGGAAGCTCGCCCCAAAGGAAAGAATGGGAAAGCAGCAAAAAGGAAACGGGAAGAAGATAAGACGAAACGGGAGAATATGGACAAGGGAATCAATAATTACTTCACAAAGGGGCCGGTAGTGGCGCAACCGAAAGCGAAGGTAACTTTAACGCCCCTTTTCTTTACGGCTGGCTTCGATTCTAATAGTTGAATAGCCTGTGAAAACACAAGCAGACGACGACTTCTTGGGAGACCTCCTTGCCGAGGTAGACACAAATGTTCTTCCCCGAGCTTCGCATCACCCGCCGAAGCAACTGACTAGACGGACGAGGGCCCTTTCTCCGCCTATCCAAAGTGCCAAAAGCTTGTCAGCTAAGAGGATGAAGCTAGGGGGCGCAAACGACGCCCCGCTTGCGCATGATGACGATGACGGCAGCTTCATTGGCGGGATGGACGACGACGACGTACCTATGAGCGACCCGGCACCCTCGTCACCTGTGCAGAAAGCTGTAGAGCGGAAAGCACAAGTAGCTATCAAAGCGGAGGAGGAGGATGACTACGATGCGATGGAGGTAGCTCAAGCCGACGGCATTGCTGCTGCGAGTGTCAACATGTCCGGTTCAAGGCCTGTGCCGAAGCTTTTGAAACCCGACCCATACCCAACACCACAAAGCTCTTCGCCCACAAGGCCGCCTCTGGAGGAAGTAGATGTGTCGGCCTGGAATAATGTCACTTCGCGCTTAAACGTCATCTCTAGCAGCCCCCCGACAGACACCAGGACTTATGGGAAGATGGACTACAAAGATGCAATTGACGGAGACGGAAGTCTGAACATGTTCTGGACAGACTATACCGAAGTGCATGGCAGCCTCTGCCTTTTCGGAAAAGTTAAAAACAAGAAGACTGGCGAGTATGTCAGCTGCTTTCTCAAAGTAGACAATATTCTACGGAAGGTATTCTTTCTCCCGCGGGACAACCTGTATAAGCATGGCAGGGAAACCTCCGAGGAAGTGGGCATGGAGGACGTCTACAAAGAAGTTGACTCGATTATGACACGGATGAAGGTGGGCATGCACAAGATAAAGCCTTGCTCAAGGAAGTACGCCTTCGAACTTGAAGATGTGCCGAATGAGGGCGAATATCTCAAGCTGCTTTATCCTTACAATAAGCCTGCCCTGCCAATCGATCTGACTGGCGATACCTTCTCACATACTTTCGGCACCAACACTTCAATATTCGAACAGTTCGTATTATGGAAGAATGTTATGGGACCATGTTGGTTGAAGATTGAAGACGCCGACTTCACCTTCCTCAACAATGCCTCTCACTGCAAGCTTGAAGTTCAAGTGACCACACCTAATCTCATCACCCCTCTGACGGAGTCGGACAGCATGGAGCCTCCTCCATTGACCCTTATGAGTCTTGCCATTAGGACAACCTTGAATGCGAAGGACAACAAACAAGAGATTTTGGCCATCAGCGCCCGTATTTACGAAAATATCTCTCTTAGCGACACAACACCAGCGGAGCAGATCCCCTCTCGAACCATCACAATTATTCGCCCTGTTGGCTCTTCATTTCCTCTGGGATTCGAAGATCTCATCAAGAAGAAGAACCGGGGTCTGGTCAAACTGTGCAGACAAGAGCCAGAGATTCTCAGTTTCTTCTTGGCACAACTTGATAGGGTCGACCCTGATGTTATTCTTGGCCACCAGCTTGAAGGTGTCGACTACAGCATTCTGCTCAGTCGCCTTCAGACTAGAAAGACGCCTGGATGGTCCAGGATTGGGAGGTTTAAGCGCAGCGACTGGCCAGGCTCTATGGGCAAGATTGGAGGAAACTTCTTCGCTGAACGCTCGTTGATTTCTGGACGGTTGCTCTGCGATCTTGCTAACGATGCTGGTAAATCGACAATGACAAAGTGTCAGTCCTGGAGTCTCACTGAAATGTGCAACCTCTACCTTAGTAGTGGTAACAACGTCCGCAGAGAGGTCGATAACGAAGTGGCGTTGAAGACATGGGCCTGCACCAGGGATGGCTTGGTAGCCTATATCGGCCACTGCGAGGCAGACACATATTTCATTGCAGCATTGGCTCTGAAAGTGCAAATGCTGCCGCTCACAAAGGTCCTAACAAATTTGGCTGGAAACTCTTGGGCAAGGACACTTACAGGTACCCGCGCGGAGAGAAACGAGTACATTTTACTGCACGAATTCCACCGCAACAAGTACATTGTTCCTGACAAGGCTCCATTCAAGGGCAGGCCCAAGACAGAACAACAAGACCAGGACGAGGAGGGAGATGTGAAAAAGAAGGACAAATATAAGGGTGGTCTAGTCTTCGAACCTGAAAAGGGGCTTTACGACAAATTTGTGCTGGTCATGGATTTCAACTCTCTCTATCCTAGTATCATTCAAGAGTACAACATCTGCTTCACAACAGTTGACCGAACAACACTTTCGGATGACGAAGAGAAGGTGCCAGAAGTCCCTGTTGATCAGGACCAAGGTATCCTTCCAAAGCTGATTGCAACTCTTGTTGGTCGCCGTCGCCAAGTTAAGAGCCTGATGAAGGACAGGTCCGCGACTTCGGAGCAACTTGCAACATGGGATATCAAGCAGTTGGCTCTAAAGCTTACAGCCAATTCTATGTACGGTTGTCTTGGATATACCAAGTCGCGCTTCTATGCCCGCCCTCTAGCTGTTTTGACGACCTATAAAGGTCGTGAGATTCTCCGCAGCACCAAAGAGTTGGCAGAGAGCAAGTCATTGCAGGTCATCTACGGAGATACAGATTCAGTCATGATCAATGCAAACGTGGACAATGTCACCGACGCTTTCAAGGTTGGCCACGAGTTCAAGCGCGCTGTCAATGACAGGTACAAGCTCCTTGAGATCGACATTGATCACGTATTCCGCCGCATCCTCCTCCAAGCCAAGAAGAAGTATGCAGCAATCAACCTTCTTGAGGTGGATGGCAAGTTTATCGAGAAGATGGAAGTCAAGGGTCTCGACATGAAGCGCAGGGAATACTGCGCTCTCTCCAAAGAAGTCTCCTCCAAACTCCTGAACGAGATTCTTTCCGGCGAGGAGACGGAGATCGTGATAACACGCATCCACGACTACCTCCGCGAGATTTCAGGCAAAATGAGAGAAGACCTCATCCCCCTACAGAAATACACCATCTACACCAAGCTCGGAAAAAACCCAAAGGACTATCCCAACGCCGACTCCATGCCCCAAGTCCAAGTCGCCCTCCGCGAGCTCGCCCGCGGCAAGACCGTCCGCAAAGACGACGTCATCGCCTACATCGTCACCGGCGACGGCAAGTCCGCCAACGAACTAGCAGCGAAACGCTCCTACACCCCCGCGGACGTCATGAAGGCCGACTCGGAATTAAAGGCGGACGCCGAGTGGTACCTCTACAAGCAGATCTTCCCCCCCGTCGAGCGTCTCTGCGCAAACATCCTAGGCACAGACTCCATGCGCCTAGCCGACTGTCTGGGACTCGACGTGCGGAAATACAGTATCAACAATAACGTCTCGAGCGGCGGCACCGCGACGGAGATCCACCCACTGGAATCGCAGATCGAAGATGAAGTCCGCTTCAAGGACGCAGCGCGACTGCAACTCAGCTGTCGAGTATGCAAAGGCACATTCGGGTTCGAAGGTCTCCTTGGTAGCCTAGACAGCTGCTCGCCCAACGGTATCATGTGTCGCTGCGGCGCGACGCTGCGGAATCTGGCTGTGGTGGCGCAGTTGGAGCATAAGATTCGGCAGGAGACGGCGAGGTATTATGAGGGCTGGTTGGTGTGTGATGACCAGGCGTGTGGTGCGCGAACGAGGCAGATGAGTGTTTATGGGCATCGATGTCTTGGGCCGAGGGGTTTGGGGCAGGGGTGTTTGGGGAGGATGGGGTATGAGTACTCGGAGAAGGCGATGTATAATCAGTTGCTTTACTTTTCGAGCTTGTTTGATGTGGAGAAGGCGAGGGAGAAGTGCGGGGGGACTGATAGAGGTGAGCTTCCTTTTCTTTCTTTCCGGTGTTGGAATGGCGTTGTGGACTTTTGCTAACTGTTTTTGATAGATCTAGTACTGGCACTGGGAGAACATAATAGGGTCAGGTTCGATACGCTGAAGGGCGTGGTAGAGAGGTATCTGGATAAGTGTGGGAGACAGTGGGTTGCTATGGATAGCTTGTTTGGGAAGCTGGGGTATGGGCCGTGAGAGTATAATGAGTGTGGGGGGTTATGATTGAAGCATGCATTTTGTATTTCCTGGGCGTTGGAGGAGCGATGGGATATGTTTTTTTATTCCCTGTCTGAATAGGCAAATATGAGTATCATGTTTTACAGATTTGTAGTGGGTTGGGATTGAGAGAGTGAGACTGAGAGTCGTTGACAGGCGGTGATATTTGTTGCGAGGTAGCTGAAAATATTATCTCCAATCACTCTATTTACCATTATATATCCTTTAACTATAGCCCTGTAGAAGCGTAGGGGAAATCCATACCTTAACAGTGATTATCTACGATAACTACCATAACTGGCCATTTTTGTGGAGCCACCTCAGGAGTACGTTACATATTGCCACATTTGGCCGCCTCCACTACAACCTAATCAGGCATGGCCCCCTCCCAAGTTACCGCAATGTGGCATGAGTAGAAATAAATATAACCTCCCACCCATCCCACCCTCACCCATTGAAAAACTGCCCATACCCGTCCTCCCTCAATCCCCCTCCCCGGATCCCACACATAATCCGCACCCACAATGGCGCGCCACAAGCAAGCCACCCCCCTCCACCGCGAGCACTCCTCCGAATACACCAGCAGCGCAGGCCGCATCGGCACACCCACGAAGCTCTCTCGAACCCTCGATTCCCCCGCGGACGCCGCGGCGCCGATAAAAGCCAATGGGCACGTCAATGGCGCTTCTGGTGCCCCGGTGGTGTCGCAGAAGAAGAAACAGGCTGGGTTGTTGGAATTGGTTATTGGAGTTGCGGGGATCTATGCTTCTTTGTAACTTCCCCCCGCTCTCCCCGCCCAACTACATACAAGAAGAAGAAGAGGCTAGCTGACTCCGACAGTCTAACATGGGCACTCCTCCAAGAACGCCTTACAACAACCCCCTACGGCCCCGCAGGCGCATCCGAAGTCTTCAAATTCCCCATCGTCCTAAACACAATCCAGTCCCTCTTCGCCGTCCTCACCGGGCTCTCCTACCTGCACCTCTCGCGCCCCGCCAACGCCCCCACCCCCGCCATCTTCCCCACGCGCGCTATCACCCTCCCCCTCGCCGCCGTGGCCTTGACAGCCAGTCTGGCTAGTCCGTTTGGGTATGCAAGTTTAGCGCATATCGATTATATCACCTTCATCCTCGCCAAGTCCTGCAAGTTGTTGCCGGTGATGTTTCTGCATGTTACACTGTTTGGGAGGAGGTATCCGTGGTACAAATACCTCGTCGTCTTCACCGTCACCGCCGGCGTCGCGGTATTCACTCTCCACGCCTCGTCTGCAAAAAAGCACGCTTCGAAGGCTGGGGCGGAGGAGAAGAATAGAGCGTGGGGTTTGGTGATGTTGGGGGTTAATCTGTTGTTGGATGGATTGACGAATACGACGCAGGATTATATTTTTAAGATGTTCCAGCCGTATTCGGGACCGCAGATGATGTGTGCAACGAATATTTTGGCGTCCGCTCTCACAATCTCTTACCTTATGATCTCCCCCCTCATCGCCACCACGCCGCTGGGGGTCTACCTAGGCCTCGACCTCACCTCCGCCGCCACGGGCGGAGAATTCCCCACCGCCATGGGCTTCCTCAACCGCAACCCCGCGGCATGGGTAGACGTCCTCGGCTTCGCGGCGTGTGGAGCGGTGGGACAGCTGTTTATCTTTTACACGTTGAGTGTGTTTGATAGCGTGCTGCTGGTGACGGTCACGGTGACGAGGAAGATGTGTACGATGGTGCTTAGTGTGCTGTGGTTTGGACATAGGTTGAGTGTCGGGCAGTGGGTGGGGGTGGGGTTGGTGTTTGGGGGGGTGGGGGGGAAGGATGGATGGCGAGGAGGGAGAAGAGGATGAAGAGTGAGGGGAAGGAAGGGGGGGAAGGTGGGGTGAAGAAGGAGTTGTAGGGGGTTGTGTTGAAAAGTGGGGGGGAGAGGGGATGGGAGGGAGAAAGGGGAAAGGGGGAACAAAAAAGGGGCGAAAGGATGATTGTATATACCGCGCCATTTCCGCATTATAAGGGGTTTCAGTAGACAGATAGACAGAACAGAGAGCGATAGATCGCACATTTCCCACCTATCACAAAAGACAAGATGCAGTGTATTTCACAGCATCTAGGTCTGTTTATTCTACACGTGAGACTAGGAGGTTTGCAGGGAGGTCACGGGACTGACCCTCTCGCTGGAGTTTGGGAAGGAGAGGCTCTCCTCGTATCGCGCATGTGACACCCTCCTCCCTCCTCTCTCATATTTACCATTTGCTCGTACAACTGACTGGCTTCGTACAATACAGTAAGACACCCCGTATGCTAAACACGACGTGGCAGTGGAGATCACGAACTGCAATTACATGCGCACGGTAGGGGCATATCCCTCCGGCGATACCGCCGTAGACACTGGAACCGCCATCGCCGCCCCACGAAACTTAGCCGCTAGATCATTATAGTATTCCAGAAGCAAGCAAGCAAAGCCCGTCCCGTCCGCGGAAATGGCCACTGAACGCCTCGCGCAAATGTAGCCTGGACGTAGTACTGCAAAGAAGGAACGAAGGAAGCAGAAAGTGAAGGGAAATGAGATGAGCATCGGCTACCCACGTTGAAATCCCGTGTTTTTTTGGGGCGCTGATCACACACGCTGGCGGGCGATTCTTGGGTATGCAGGTACGGATGTGTTTAGTACGGTATGGTGGAGGGAGGGTTTGGTCCGTTCGGGACCCGACCATGTGCTGTTGAGCATCAGGGCTTGGGTCTCGAGGTAAATCTCCGAAGTCTGGAACAGGACAGAGAGATGGAGAGCGGCCATGGCTACCACCCTGGGCAGTAGGCCTCCAGGTCGGCCAGCCAAAGAAGGCGAGATAAATTTGTTTTCGGACGAAGAAGTTCGTGATGGCGTTGCCTTGCTGCTCCCTCTCATCATGGAGGTGATTGATAAACCAAAATTTCCGGTCCTCGTTGAATTTCGGCCTGAGTGGGGTGCCGCATCTATGAGCTATCCCTACCCCAGATCCTGATGTAACGAGGGGAGGGTGCTCTGATGGTGGGGTTTGCTCGGCGAGTGCAGTTGGGTACTGTTGCAAATGCTTTATCCTGGGGCTGGTAAACCCCAGCTGGTCAGCCAAGTCAGCAAAGCGGCGGAGGACGGCTCGATCTGCTATCGCTGCAGGCTGCATCACACGGTCCTCCTTCACTGGTTCCTTTGGCATATCCGCGAAGTGCCGCATGGCATACGCAATGATCTGCCGGTACCCGAGATCGACTTGGTCTCCGCACGTCCCCTGCCCGTACACAAAAGCATTCTCGGCGACCTGAATCTTAGGCTAGCCGTCTGTAATGGTGGGTGCACCAGATGTGAGAATCTAGCCACCCAAGGAAGGGATGATTTTACTAAGACAACACACTGTCTTAGGAAAAAGAGCCAAAGGGTTGTAGCTTAGACTATTCCACAACGCAGCAATCAAGTGTATGATGTAGTGGAGTGGTTTAGACAAGTTGTACAAATGTTGAGTCTGAGAACTCAGGGATAAGTCAGAGGTTAGCACCTCACTGACTTTTCAGAAACACGGAGTAACAAGATCAATGCTTGGAAGCTTGGAAAAGACGTGGAAGTATGTGATAGTCGATTTACTGTATTGTCTGCTTGCCCTTTCTTAAGGAAAGGGCAATCCTATTTATGCTAAAGGAGTGTAGTTCTCTCATTTTCCAAGACTTTCCATGACTAACCAGGCTTGGTAACTGTAGTCGACGTAAGAGAATCCCATAGAACCATCTCCTAGGTTCCTAGCCTATAGGAAGTGAAAGGAGGTCCAAGGTCAGAGTACCCCTATAGACAGATTATGTCATAACTTAACCAATCTTGTGGGTAACTAAGGAGCAATGACGTGTAATGAATCATAGATGGTTGTAGAAGCTTTTGGAGCTATCGTTCATGTTCCTAGCCCTCTAGTTGATAGAGATATGTCATGTGTAGTATTAGCCCAGTAACTAAGGAGTGATGTCATGTAATGAATCATAGAGGGTTGTAGAGATATGCTATGTGGTCATATCGGCCCAGTAACTAAGGAGCAATGATGTAGTCATTGTGGACAAGTACCTTTTGGTCATGACAGTGGTGGAAAAAATCATCACATAGCGTTAGAATGCCAATTCGGAGGCAGCAATTGCTGGTGGCAATGATAGCTACCAGTATACTACTTCTACGACAACGTCGTCGTCGCCAGCGGCTTTATATTGAGGCCTTACAGTGTCGATACTGGGCGCCGTTTGAGTATGAGTCTATGTCATGGACTCTCGAAGCGTGGGGGCAAGACTCCCCAGTCAAAGTGAAGCATTATTTACGGTAAGTCAGCTCTTATTTGATTATATATTATACTAAATACTATCTAGCTTCTCAATTGAAGAGATCTGGTATCTCTTACCCCTTCTTCGGCTCGAAGATCTTGTATATCGTCACCGGGTTGTTGCTGACCCCGAGGCTGCTTTATGTGTCGTACTCATCTGCCTGGCATATCCCCGCCGGTGGAGCACTTGCATTGGGATCTTTGGAAGATCTAGCACCTGGTTAAGTATCATATTCAATGATACCTGTCAGTATTTGCTTGGCCAGTTTGCTTCAACTCTAGTGTGGGCCTCTCATCTAACATATGATAAGATGCAAGAGTTCTCTATAGCTATAGAAGCTATTGGCCAATGCCCTCGTATATGGGGCTTCGTAGACGGCACATTTCGAGGATTCTTACGTCCGTCAGGTCCTGATGAAGCCCAGCGTGCAGTATTGTAACGATGCCTCCACCCTCAGTGATGGAAAGGATTGGAGTCGGGCAGGTTACAGTCACGTGGGGAGAGTTAGGGCAGGTTAGCCGAGTCGGACCCGTTTCGGGTACTTAAGGGGATTGACCCAACGGGGTTCCTCATCATCTTTTTTGTATCCTTCGTAGTAGACCTATAGGATAGCATCTGTTTAGCCTCCGACTCGCACTCTCATATGCTATTACTGTGAGCTGGGTGCCCTGTGTCCTTACAAGTATATAACGGCCATAAGCATCAGCATGGCCAGCAATGGCAAGCTGTTGTAACACCAGATGATCTGGCGTCATCAGTTTGTGGCCCCTTTTGTAAGGACAGTTCGAACTGAGGCTGACCTTCAAGTCTGCAGAAGTATCCGAAGTATAATGTGAAGACTTCGATACTCGAAGCAGTAGGACAAGGTATAGTAATTCAGGCTCCAAAGCATATACTTTATACCACAGGGGTCAAGTGGTGAGACTAACAGGTTGGCCAAGTGGTTCGACTCGAGTAAGGGAATGCAAAGTAAGTCGAAGCAGGAGGAATTGCAAGAAGGCCAAGTAGTATATAATTTGCTAGCTAAAGATCAATAAGAGACATGAGCAATAAATGCTTATATAACGTAAAAATCCCTAGTGCCAAATAAGCGAAGGCACTAATTAACTGAACCCTAGCTAAGCGAGCCCTAGTGCAGCAAGCCAATAACAAGAGAGCCTAAGCCAGTAGTCAACATTTGGGCTGATCTAGGTCAGCAAGTGAAGCGAAGTGAGCGAAGTGAGCGAAGCAGGTGAAGTGAATGACATAGTGAAATAAGTACTAGAGACTAAAGCGAATCGAAGGGTCATGACACAAATATCGAAGGAGTGTCATGACACCTTTCTTGGAACGGCAAACAATTGGATGATGTGGCAAGAGTCTGGCTGCGAAGCCAAACTCGAGCAGATTATGGAAGGCAAAGAAGATTCTGAATGGCTCTTCCTATATGGTGATCCAGCGTATTAGTGCACAACTGGTATCATGAGCCCATTTACTCATATAAGTGGGTGGCGTCATTTATCACATGAAGAGAAGGCGTTTAACTGCTCACTCTCATCAGTACAGATTGCAGATGAGAATTGCTTCAGTCGAATCCAACAGCTATTTATATATACTGCCTTTAATAAGGGGTTAAAGTCAGGAAGCCAACCGGTAGCAGCTTACTTTGCGGTTGCTATTCTCCTGACGAATTGCCATACTTGTATGGCTGGTAATCAGATATCACATCGATTCAAAGTCAGTCCGCCAACAATTGATGTTCTCTTTTAATATGTTCAAACTGAGTGGCGAACACAGCTTGAAGCCGCTCCTCTTGAGCCTTCAGTGGAATTTGAAGTTCCCATCAGCGCCTCTGGATGTAGAGGCAGTGGTAAAGAAAGCGTCTTCACTAGATCTTCTACCATAGAGATGAGGCGCTCTTTTTATGTCGTTATCCAGGATGGTGGCGTTATGCATCTGAGAACGCCGAGAAGCAACAGATGGATGCGGCGAAGGAGAAGGCTGGTAAGAACGGTCAAGTGGTGATGGAGAAGATTGAATATCATTGTCATCAATGATAACGACTTCTTCATCTCCACTACCACTTACCAATTGCTGTGCCTGGCATGCTGGAAGAGGATTCCAAGGTGAAGGCACTGGCGGGTTGATAGACCGCTTCTCCTTCATTGTAAGAAGCATTGCCGCACGGGCGAGGAAAGTGTGATGGTTCACCAAGGCATAGGGCGCCAGTTGGGTATTATGAATTAAACTCAATCTAGAGAAGAAAGGAAAGAGAAGAGGAGGACTCGAGAAGTGGCTCGACAGCTATGTTGTTGTAGAGTGAATTCTCTTTAGCGAGACCAGTTCTGAGAATTCACTCCACAACTGAAAACTTCGCTCCAACCCCGACAAACTCCCCACACCCCTGAACCCCCACTCGAGCTGCAAGGCGCACTTGATATCGTAACAACGATGAGGAGAATGATCTTACAGTTGATGTGGTAGTTGCACCGGGCTCATAACCTGTGGAGGTGTAGGAAGCTTAGTACTACGATGGGGCTGTAGGGAGTAATCGTAATCCTTGATACTTGTAATGCTGACTTCTAAATGATAGAAGACACAGAGGTTTCTTGCATAAGGTTGACTTGACAGAGGAGGCAGGGGATTAAACACAAAGGCTTTCCAAGTAACATGTTACAGTATTGTAAAGAATACTATATTGAGTTGAGCATGAAGCTCCTATCTAAGGAAATACTATCTACTTATATAATGGCGTCGTGCCAAAGGGATATCCGTGGATAACATGGATAACATGGATAACATAATATCCATGATATCCAATGTTATCCATCACCTGATATTCCGTGGATCCCCATGGATAACATGGATAACATAATATCCAAGATATCCAATGTTATCCATCACATGATATTCTGTGGATCGCTGTGGATAACATGGATAACATAATATCAATGATATCCAATGTTATCCATCATGTGAGGTTGCAGCTGTAAGCGCTAGCCATAGCACTAGCACTTAGCCGTAACAATATTCTGATGATTGATGATCTCGTTGATGAGAGAAGCCATAAGGGCATTCTCTCGAATCTCTATATCTACGCTACGATCTCGCTACGCTTCACGTGACTGATACCATGTGACTTGACTTCAATATATAGCCCTAATAGATATTAGTATAAAGTTAACTTACCTACAACTAGGTTGTGTACACTTAATAGTAAGTGTTCGTTCTTTATTTTCAATAATAGGATTTAACTCTCTAGTAAAGAGTCCTTCCTTAAAAATACAAGGAAGGTTATCTAAAGGAAGAGTATAGCTAGGGCTATTATATTGATCTTTAGAAGAAGACATATTATTGTAAAGATAGTATAAAGTGTTGTTATTGTTGCTTTTTGTTTTAATAGAAAAGTTAGTTAAGGAGGGAGTTAAAGGCTCTATATATACCTAGATTATAGATTCTAGAATATGCTATAACGTGGTTTATCAGTACGTCGGACATATCAGTACCTCGGACACTTTTCATTGGCATTCTACTTTGAATATCAATAAATCAACCATAACATATTAAATTAACTATAACTAAGCGGAATCAGATGAACTAGACATATCTATAGCTTCTTGACAAGTTCGCGCATTATGACCAGCTTTTCCACAGATCCCACAGCATCGCCTAGACGGTTGCCCCTCCTTGTGACTACCCCCAACCGCACTTACGTCGTGTCGTACCTGCTCATCCACATCCTTCTGTGCGAATAGCCTGTGCATCCTCTACTATAAGTGCACCTCCTTCACGGACACGAGCCTTTTTAGCCCTGCGGCGTTTGCTAAGGGCTTCGTTGGCTGCTCGAAGGGTACGTACCTCAGCAGACAGAAGGGTGTTCTCATGTGCTAGTCGCTCCGTACCCTTTGCCAATGCAATAACTGTCCCGAAGAGTGGAGTTGGCGAGCTTCCTTGGTGATGGGCAATTCGATTTCGAACGAGGGTTGTTTGTGAAAGAGCTTCAGTTGGGTTGGAAGGGGTCTGGGAGACCCAAGGGTTGGTGTTGGCAGTAGAGGGTCTAGAGGGAGTTGGAGTCCGTAACCTCACGTCAAGCTTTGAAAGCACTGCTTGCGGGTCGAAAGGCACTAAGCCAGCTCCGCGGAACCCGGACTGGGCGTTTTGGGCTGTCATGGATTCCAGATATGCTGCTCTAAAGGCGAGAAAGAACTCGACCTTGGTAATGTGGTTGATATGAGCCTTAATGAAGGTCTCAATCTGCCGACCATATGCCCGCTTCAACACACTAAAGCACCCGACATCAAGTGGCTGAGTTAAATGAGACGAGTGGGGAGGTAGTCCAAGAGTTATAATGTTGTGTGCCTTGCAGTACTCTTGGAACTCGGCCGATTCATGACTCTCGTGCCCGTCTAACACCAGCATTCGATATGGACCCCTTGCACGAACAGCAGTATGTTTGTCGAAGTGTTTCAACCATTCTAGACCCATCTCATTGTTTGTCCATCCATTGCTTGTCGGTTTAACAACCCAGTTGTGTGGAAGGCCGCCGTCTGTATACCAATTTGCAAGATGATTCTTGCCTTTAACTACCAAAAATGGAGGAATACTCCAGCCGTCACTGTTGATACAAGCAATCGCTGTAGCCCATTCCCGATTCCCTGGCTGAACTGCCTTACCTCTGCCAAGTCGATCTGCACGGGTAACAACCATTGCAGGGCAAATCACACCCATCATAAACCCAGTTTCGTCAAAGTTATAGAAGTCGCAGTCCAAAACACCATATTTTGCCCTCATATTTTCCACTAGTCGAAACCACGCGCCAATTAGTTCAGGATCTTCGCACAAGGCCCTTTGGAAGTCGTAAACGCGATTAAAACGCGTCTTTAATTCTGGACGTCGTTGTACAAATCGGTGGGCCCAGAGCTTCCCGACGCGCCTCCCTCCACGCGACTCGAGTATAAAATTTGCCATATCTTCTACACCAGCAAGCCGGGGTGCAAATCCTCTTGAATCCATATCAAGTATATTCCGAATAACCACCTCCTCTTCTAGTATAGTTAATTTCATCATTGCAGGCCGGCGTTCGTAGACAGTAGTTCGGCCGTTCATTCTGTCGCAGAGTGTAGAATGAGGTACTTCATAGAGCTTAGCAGCCTTCCGACGACTTAGATTTTTTGATGTTCAGATAGCCTCGATAGCTAGAATGATTTTTGCTTCTTGGGTAATCACTGACATAATAAAAGGTGGAAAAAACGCGTTGTGAAGTTAGAGGGTAGGAAATTCGGGAAAAGTGTCCGAGGTACTGATATGTCCGACGTACTGATAAACCACGTTATATATATATTTATAAGCATTTATTATAAGCATCTCGAACTCTCTAGAAGTTTGTAGAATCCTGTGTCCACTCCTCGAAACTCGGAATACCCCAACGCCGATTGTTTCTCAAAGGATGGACAACAATGCCTGTCGTTCGAAAAGCTAGACTCGGCAATCCTTGTTCAAATTATTATTTCCGCGACAGAAACTCAGGCGCGCTAATGGTGGAGCCGCCACACGTAGAAGCAAGTGGCCGAAAGAACCGCATAATTTAGGCTCCAGTGCTTTGAGGCGTACGGCCACGTCGTGGTGCATATTCATCATCTATCACATGAGACATATGTGCACTTCGGAGAAGCATATAATATAAGGGTAAGATAATACGTATAATCCTGATAACGAAAAAGAAATACCTTCACTCTCGTGGAATTACAATTTCGACGACATCTTATCACTGAGCATAGCTATCTCCGGAAGATCTAGCCTCCGCTAAGGAAGCAAGGTGAGTAGGAGATATCCCAGTATGTTTAACCTTCTAAATTTTGAAAGAATTTCCAAGCTCCACAATGGCTAGTGAATCCAAATCCAAGAAGTCAGAACCCGGTCAGGAGGCAGAGGTTGGGGTCAAGGGCAACGTCAAGAGCCTCCAGCAGCTTAGCTCCTCCGGTCGGGCCGCGCAAAGGAAGAGAGATAACAATCGGAACGAACGGGCAGCAGCCAGTTTGAGTAAAGCGTTTGAGAAAGAAGTTGCGAAAAGCGATTCGTCGAGCAGTGGAGGTAAAAAATAATTAAAGATGATTACTCTATCGTAGAGTCATCGAAAGCTTTGCGAAGCTGCTGGTCATATTCTTTCTTATCGGATAACTTGCGCGATATAATCTGAAAGACGTCCTGTGCCCAGTAGTACGGCATGACGTTGTCTGGATCTTCGTCGTGGATGCTAATGAGCCGGGGCTGGATGTGATGGTAAAACAATTGGAAAAGGCCAGTCGGACTAGACAACGCAAGCGTATACCAAAATGTCCCCATCTCCCAAGCCTGGTTCATTACGTCTGCCAGTCGCAACCCTCCCCTCTCAGTAGTATTGCTCGCTGCCAACTGTTCCTCTTCTTCTAAAATCTCCATGAATTCAACCCGTACCTTGTTGAATTCGTCCGGCAGTATCTGATCGACGCCTTTGTTTGTAAGCCAGAAAGGTGGTTCCACCATCTCTATAGGTCGAGAGCATCCCCATTCCAGGTCTACCAGCGAGGTAATATGCCAGTCTTTATCCACAAAAATATTGCTCTGGTGTAAATCTGTCAAAGTAAAAACAAAGGGCCCGCGCCGCAGCTCCCGCCGCAAGAAGAGGGGCATAATCGTACGCATCGCCCCTAAGGCTGACATCTGAGATACAGAGTCGTTAATATCATTGATTGCATTCGGCTGGCTTCGAAGGCGACTATCGTGGAAAGCAAGCATATCGACGATGTAGGAATCGACAGTAGTATAGGTATAGTCTCTTCGAATGTTTGTAGGAACCTCCTCGTTTTCCAGTGCCTGGATCTCTATCGAGAGTGGTCGGTTTGTTAAGCTCAAGAACCCACCGTTGTCAATAACAAAGGAGCCAATTCTTGGTAAGGCAATTCGACTGATACTCAGGATAATTCGCGAAAGATCGTGAAAAAGATTGGTCTGTAACCTCGAATCGTGCTGCTTTTCTAACCAAGTGTTAGAGAGCATCTCTCCTTGTGTTTCCTCGATATACTCGGTCAATAGATAGCCTGCATCTGCTAAAACTAAGCTTCCGATGTCGTGTCGGACATATCGTGAAGGGACGGGGTACCCGAGCCATGACAAGACGTGTCGGCGTAAGCGTTGGATATATTGACGTAAGAATGGTAAACTTTCCAGCCGTGTGAACTAGATATTATCAATATTTGAAATCTCAATTACCAGTTGTCGCTACACACCGTCTGACCTGTAGACAACGCAAAGCCATATAACCGTGGAATCGGCACCTCGGGACAATTTTCGTCAAGCCATGCATAGGTGCCCGCCTCACATCGAATCTTCTCGTCTCCATTGCCTGGCTGAAAGGAGTCTCCAACACGGTATGGTAATGGGAACCGCAGAAGGACGCGCTTCCCCTGCCACGTCAAAATGGTGACCGGGACACACACGTTGAAGCTGCCATGGAGCCACTCCGACATATCCGCTATATTGCACGCATCCGGTAACTGGAGGCTCAAATGATGAGCGACAACTGCCTGCATCAAGTTGCGTTTACGATAGAGACAATCAAAGAACCTGTCTTTCTTGTCGCAGTATTCAAGCTGATGCAGGACGTTCACTTCTCTGTCCTGCGCAACGGAGTATGTGATATCCTCGCGAGGAAGACGGCGAGTCCGCAGCGGCATAGCTATAGAAGCATGCCGATGGTTTGCGGAGTGTGAGCTGCTTCAATCATGAATTTACTATGCGAGCCACAACTGCTGTATATGTATGCCTTGATAATAAGGGAGGGCGTATTAGTAAGGCAGTTCTGGCTTGGCCGGGGTAACTGATCCGCCGACGCCAGACGAATAGGCCACTTCAGCATCGTAATTTGAGTGTAGCAGCGTAGCAGCTTTAGCCTAGATAGGAAATGATGTAACCATAATCCTTGCGCCCCCCTGTTGCCACTATTTCCTAATGTAGTCTAAAGCTGCTACACTGTAGCAGCTCAGGTCTTGGCAGTCTGGTCCTAAATAGGTTAGTATTATAAGTAAAATCCAATGTTGGAAAATGAAGTCGTAGATATATTATCAATTGTATAGTTATATATAATAATGAATAACGCTTTTACCAACCCCTATTTGCAATATCAAGTGCCTATGGCGCAGCCCTGGCCTACCCAACCACCACCTCACGAACTCTCAACTGATACCGCCAGCGAACCTTGGCTTGAATTGCCCCAAACCAGCGATGAAACTAGCGATTCCACTATCCTCGAAGACTCTCTAGCAGCTACAGCTCAAAGCGCTTTAGCTCAGAGTAGCCAGGCTGATGGCGTTATAACATCGAAAAGGGGGGGGGGGGGAAGGGGCTTACGAGAGACCAAAAGACAACGATTATCCGGCTTTGCATCCAAAAAAGGGATATATATGGGGTTATTGCAGATAGATCCTTTTGGCGGCTTATAACTAAGGAGGCGGAACACTTGCTAGGTTTAACCCATAACTCTATTGGAAGAGTTATTACCAGTCTTATTCGAGAGCATCGGAGCAAAGTCTCATTACGGCCAGAAGGACGAAGTGGCGAAGAAGATCCTCCTTCTTCATATGACGATGCAGTTGACCAATGGATTAATATCGTTGATATACGGGCTAATAAGGAATCGATTCGAGATGCAGCAAAAGGGACAAAGGAAGCAGAAACTGAAGCATCTATTGCATGGCGAACTGCTCAAACTACCCGGTTCTCACATCGAAATCTATCGAACTCAATAGAGTCTTCCATTCCGCCTTCTGAGTTAATCCCCTCTGAGTCTATCCTCTCTGATTCTCATATTTCTGAGTCCTCTACACCGTCAACTTCAGCTTCTCAACCAAGACGAAAGCGGAAACAGTGCACCGAAGACCCCCCTCCACCCTCTCATAAAGATGCAATCCTCGAAATCGCTCAGAGTATCGCAAGGACTGCTGAGCTTTCAGCAAGCGCCGATGCTGCTGAGCGGTCAAATGCAAAAGCTATCGAGAGTGTTGAATTAAAACTCCAAGAACTACGTGCGGATGTGAGTCAAATACTACATCTATTACAACAGACGCATCAGAGTACAGATGGATAGAAAGGGATATAATAGATATACATGTATATAGTTTATAATGATAAATACTCTTCTATTAATGGTGGAGGCACTGCAAACCGTGATCCAGATGCTGATGTATGACGGAAGCATATAAAGCAATTTGATAATAGAACTGCAACAGGATAGTAAACCCCAACTGGCTGATATCCTGAACGGAGTGCCTTTCCAAATGCTGTATATGTCCATAGAACCTGCACTCCTCCAAACGCCTGTTCTACAGCAATCCGGACTGAAGAGAGGGCTCTATTCCAAGCCTTCCTTTCATCTGAAAGAAAGTGTCTACCCTGTGGGTGCGCCCATGGGCAAGCCATACCATAACCTGCTTGGTATGCAGGATCACCATATAGATATAATAGATTATGATCTTGCATAACCTAGATGGTTGTTAGTATTGTAATATGATAATAGAATACTCTTACCTCTCGTATATGCTCCTCTACACCAGAGCGCCGCCACATCGCCCAATCATTTACAGGACCAGGCCACGGGCCTGTTAGTGATGATATTAAACCATCAGGAGTTACTACTGCTTGGTAGTTGATTCCATGAGCCCGTTTATGGCCTGAGAATACGAGCCGCTGAGCATCTTGCCCTTGCGGACGCTGGTGAGACCGAAAAGTACCATCGACAAAGCCCCAAACCCCATCTGCACCCCCTACTCTCTCAATAGCCACTGCGAACTCTTTTAACTTCTCATATGTAAGTCGAGAGTGCCATTGAAGCTTCCTTGAGTAAGACTGATGTAGGAAGAGTACTGTATCTGTAAATACAGTACTTAACCAGGCTATAGAGCGGCCAAATATATCAGCAAGTTGTCATACTGACATTCGTTGCACTCAGTTTGCTATCAAACTCAAGAGCAAACTTAGAAATCTCCTCCTCAAACCTACAAGTCAACATACATATCTTGGCTTATCACATCAACAACAGAAGCAATACTACTCAACGATTGCTGCAAACTCTTCTACTACATCTGTTTATGCTACATACATCACGGCATATCATTTGGACACTCATTGAACAAGTTATTAAGAAAATCTCCTCCTTAAGGGGGTGGGCCAATACTACCACATGGCATATCTCTACCAACTAGAGGCCTAGGAACATGAACGATAGCTCTAGAAGCTTCTACAACCCTCTATGATTCATTACACGTCATCAGTCCTTAGTTACCCACAAGATTGGTTAAGTTATGACATAATTTGTCTATAGGTACTCTGACCTTGGACCTCCTTTTCACTTCCTATAGGCTAGGAACCCAAGAGATGGTTCTATGGGATTCTCTTACGTCGACTACAGTTACCAAGCCTGGTTAGTCATGGAAAGTCTTGGAAAATGAGAGAACTACACTCCTTTAGCATAAATAGGATTGCCCTTTCCTTAAGAAAGGGCAAGCAGACAATACAGTAAATCGACTATCACATACTTCCACATCTTTTCCAAGCTTCCAAGCATTGATCTTATTACTCCTTGTTTCTGAAAAGTCAGTGAGGTGCTAACCTCTGACTTATCCCTGAGTTCTCAGACTCAACATTTGTTACAACTTGTCTAAACCACTCCACTACATCATACACCTGATTGCTGCGTTGTGGAATAGTCTAAGCTACGACCCTTTGGCTCTTTTTCTAAGACAGTGTGTTGTCTTAGTAAAATCATCCCTTCCTTGGGTGGCTAGATTCTCACATATGGTGCACCCACCATTACAATCCTCCCCCCACCCACAGCCATTGATTACTATCTAACTTGGTGTATCTTACACAGGAATTACATGTTAAAATGGCAGAACGTTGCCGCAGAGCTCGACACTGTGCAAGCGCAGCACACAAACGACCTTTAGACTCAACACTTGGTAGCCGGTGTAACGCTGACTTCTAAACGATAGAAGACACAGAGGTTCTCTTGCATAAGGGTTTACTTATCAGAGGAGGCAGGGGATCAGACACAAAGGCTTCAAGTAACACGTTACTAGTATATAACAAATATTGTATTGAGTTGAGCACGAAGCTCCTATCTAAGGAAATACTATCTACTTATATAGTGGCGTCGTGCCTAGTGGACTCTTGGGAACTCACTCGAGTCCTCGGAGTCCTGGACTCTTAGGACTCTTCTCATCATCCTGCGAGTCCATCACGTGCCTAGTGGACTCCTGGGAACTCACTCGAGTCCTCGGAGTCCTGGACTCTTAGGACTCTTCTCATCATCCTGCGAGTCCGTCACGTGATACTTTCGGAACTACTATTCCCCGCTGCCCCTCCAGGTACCAGGGCCGGTCTCATGCGACCTCCCTCCTTCCTGTCCTGTAGTTGGCCAGCCTTCTTGTTCCGTCGTAACACTCGCTCCCTTCCCCTGGGCATTCGTCTCGAATCCTATAAGTACGTCCATGTCCCCGGGACTCTGCTGCTCCTCAGCGAGTCCTTCAACATGCAACATGCCTACTGAACACTGCCCGCAAACTCCAGGAACGCAACGATCTTGTCCGTCGAATAAAGAACCACGGATACGAACTACCCGAAATGGATTCTTGCTCGAACTGCGTGAGGCGAAACATTACTTGCGTGTCGTCTCCAAATGATTCACGGCGGTGCGCCGAGTGCGTTCGTCGCAACTTGAAAGAAAAGTGTGACTGTATGGGTCCTGAGCATCCCGACTGGGTGAAGCTCGAACGGGAGGAGGATCGCCTGGATCGCGAAGAGGAAGAAACCCTTTCGAAGTTACTTCGTCTGCGGAAGCAGAAACGCCTCATCCGAACCCGTGGTAAAGATATGCTCCGGCGAGGTTTGAAAACCCTCGACGAGCTTGATGCGGCAGAGGAGGCCGAACGTGTGGCTGCTGATAAGCATGACGCTGTTGAGGTCGAGGAACAGGCAGTTAGCGCTGCCTCCTCGTCTGTGACCGGGACCCTCGCTTCCTCCGATCCACTGGCCTACTCCCCTGCATCTTGGGATCAATGGCTGGCGGATGGCGGCGTCGATATTCCTCCAGCAGTTCTTTGCTGATGTTCCTTGTTGGTTCCCACGAATTATCCGTAGGTTCGTAATTTTCCCATTTTATCAAAAACTCTTCTCGACGTCCTACTAACCTTCTGTCTAGGATCGCTTCGACCTCATATTCAATTATCTCATTCTCGGGTTGGAGTTCGGTGTCGGTCGCAACTGGGGTATTTCCTCTTGCTGATTCCAGTAGTGAGACATGAAATACCGGGTGTAGTCTAGACTTCCTGGGTAGCTGCAGTCTGTAATTAACTGAGCTGACTTTGTTCAATATTTTGAATGGTCCCAATTTCTTGAAGTCCAACTTTGTGCTTGGTCGTTTCGTTTTGATATGTTTCCGGAGTAGGTATACTTTATCCCCCTCCTTGAAGGCAGGTTCCATACTGCGCTTCTTGTTTGCGTATGCGGCGGATCGTTCATTTAAGAATTGGATGTCCGTCGCAAGTTGTTCGTGGAACGATTTCAGTTGTTCCACCACGATCAGGGCTTGTTCAGCTCGTGATTCATCCGGTCTTGGTTGCCTATATGCTTCTGGCTGGTAGCCATAATTGGCAAAGAACGGTGAGACTTTCGTTGCTTCTGTCATCGCGCTGTTATATGCAAACTGTGCGATGGG